TCGAAAAATTTCGAAAAGTTCATTCCGAAAATCCCTGTCTGGAATATGAATCAGAAACTTGGCTCTCCATTTTTGAGTTTTTCTGGAAAAAAAAGAAATGTCAAACCAATAGTTTTGATGATTATAATTGAATGTGAGAGAATAATGAGATGAGATGATGGACACAACAAGTCAATTATTTCACGTCATGTACTCTTTTTTTCAACTTTCATGGTTTCCAGCACGTAGGATTTCTACCGTATCAGAACGAAGTTCCCAATAATGCTCACTTCAAAGTCCAAACATCGAAAAGTTTGATGACACGCTACATTTATCTCGTCAAATACTCATTACGCTTCACTATTTTTATCCGGTGGTGCAAAAAAAGAAGATTTGTATATTATTTCAGACCCGCTAATCCAATTACACTCATAATCTATCCTTTCTTCTTTTTCATATCTGTCACAACCCATCTTTTGTTCTTTTTTTCGTTCCATCTTCTCCTTTCAACTTATTCAAGCTCAGAACATCATGCCTGACTATCAAGATCTGGTCTCCGGCTCTCTAAAATTTTGCTATTTCTCCTACATCAGATAACATTGTTTGACATTGGAGACCAAACATAAAAATGGAACAGAAAAATGTTTTCAAAGTTCCTGCTCCCATCTAGTTTTCTTTGTCTAGAACCAGTCATTGGTGACGCATCCCAAGAAGAAAAAAAAATAGTGCAGAGACGAGGCTTCTGCTTTTAATGGTTTTCCGTGAACAATAATAAATTGTGGGTGGAATCCGGTGATTACTACTGGTTTTATTTTTGTCTTCATTTTACGTAACTGAGATAAGTGATAGTTCTCATTTTCTGAAAATTTTCATTTATCATCATTTGCAGTAAAACTGGCTTTAACAATAATTTGGATTTTTGACTTTTTTCTGGCCAAAAAATCCGTTTCCATTCATTGGAAGACTTGATTAGTTTTTTTCTTCCTTGAAATTACTTTTGAAGTTACGAAGTGTACAAAATAAGTATATACCAAAATTCGCTATAATAATATGTCGTTACTTCATTTGAGCTCAATCATTTTAATGTATTAAAGATATATTTAAAAAATGCTATGAAAGCGTTGATCATACTATTACAAACATTCTATCACTCGACAAGTTTTGATAGCTCTCATAAGAACCGGAATAATTGAGCTTGAAGTGCAATTACAAAACTTTGACAGACCATAAAAGGATTTCTTAGTTCAAAATGTTTAAATAAAAATAACTGAACAGTTCGAAATCCTATTAGAAGAATTTACTATGAAAAATTAATGATCTGCAATTGGTTGCTCACTGGAACCTTGAGCCCGTTTCGGCTTCTTCCCTTATCTGTCAACAACTTTGTGACTTTTCCATTTCTCTCTGCTTCCGTGCAATTTCAAGTGTTCGTGACAAAAGTGTAGGCACATTTATCATTTCCAGTTCAAAAATGGGAGAAAAACGTTGGACCCGTTCAATGTGAATTATTTGTTTATTCAGTCCTCCTTCCTTTCCTTTTAAAGTTTTTTTTCTCAATTTTTCAACATCATTCACCGAAGTCAACTTGTATCACGAAATGAATATGTTCTTGGCACGCAACCGGGCAATTAGGGATTATGAATATGAGTGTCAGGCTCGTTTTTTTCTTTGCAGGTCGGAGGACTTGACTCCACCTCTTTCATCCCTTCCGGACATTTATTTTCATTTGCTATCCTTTGCGCTTCTTTGTTTTGTTTTTAGACACGATTCTTATATTTTGAAAGAATTAGACTACATTAGAATTAGACCAAATGAGTTGAGACATTTCTTTTGACCGCGGTACGAGACTTTTCAATTCCAATTTCAACTAGAATTGTTGCTCAAATTTTTTGTTTGATTTATTTCAAGCATTCTTGTAAAATAAAGACACGGATCGGGCCAAACCGGGCCTGAAAAAATTTCGAAGCCCGGTACCAAAAATCCTGTAATTTCAAGACAGATTCTGACGGTTTTGCTCACGGCTTCAAGTTACAAAATTGGTAATTTGTGTTTTCTTTTCGATGTAGTAAGTGTTAATCTTCAAAACCCGCCACCATCTCGTGTTCTTCTTTTGTCAGGTTTTTTCGTATTGTGCCTTTGGCTGGTACATCTCCCGAGGACAATAGATAAATTCTGGTATGAAAGGGTATTATATTGGACTTATAATAAGAAAATTCTAGAGTTGATATTGCTATTAATCTTGTTGTCCACTAGAACTAATAGGACTAAATTCTTTATCTAGAAAGTTTTTGAATCAGAACATCCGAGGCATTGTTTTTCAGTGAGGCTCAATAGTTACACCAGATTTCAAAAAGAAAAAAAACACTATTAAAAAAACTCTGTAAACTGAAAATTCCACGATTTAATTTTTTAGCAAAGCAACTATTGCACCTTAAAAATTTTCATAATTTATTTCAAATTAATTTCTTACTGTATTTCTCGTTTTTCTATGCCCACAAGATTTTTCTAGCGTATCCTATAGAACCCAAATTTCACAGAAAGATTGCGCGTGGGATTGTATATCCCTTTAAAATGTTAATTGTCTATACGATTTCTATAGGTTGACTGAAACTGCACAAGACACGCCCACTGAAGGATTTTCTATATGAATCCAATTTCAGTCTAATTTCATTTCACATTCTTTTCTCGAATGTTAGGATTTTTTCGAAATCGAGTACATATACTAAATTTATGGTTTTTTTTTTTTCTTATTTAAGTTTTAGATCACCTGATATGATAAGAAAAAAAACTAGAAACTAATAGGGTTTAAAACTGGGATAATCTGAAATTGAACTCCCAGTAAACATGCTCCAAAGTTCGTCATACAGGCATGTTTTTACTCAATGTTTTCTCTCAGTTCATAGATTCCTTTTTCACCTCTCTTTCTCTCATTTCTCGGTTATTCCAAAAACCTTATGAACCATGACCGATGCGGTTCGTTGACTGGCTTTTCCATGCCATTCTGGTGAGATAGAGGACCCCTAGTTCAAGGGTTTCTCGTCTGAAAAAAGCGTCCTGTGTTAAAGAAAAAAGATGACAAAATTCGTTCCCATATTCATGATTCATTCGCGAACTTTCCTCTCTTCCGTTTTCTCAAGGGTAACTTTTTAATGAGACTCCTTGTTTTAATTACCCATTTTAATTACCCAATCACTATCCAATCCTAAATAAAAAATAATGAGATCAATTTTTTTTTCCAGAAAAAAAAGTTTCAGAATTTATAATAGTTTTGTAATTATACACTCCAATTCTTCCGTTTTCCTTTCATTTTCCTTCCAATTTTATCGCCTTCCATCAAACTTTAGCTTCTCTATACATAATGACTAGTTGAGTCAGTGGATATCACTTTTCTGTTGGTGGTGGAAAGACAAAAAAATGAAAATGACTCCTTGTAGTTGGAACAAAAAAGAAGATAAACTGGAGCTCAGTAAAGAAAAACGAGATGTTGTACTAACCAGAACAATTTCGAATTCTCCATTCAATCTAAGCAAATTCAGAGAACCTCCCGGTGTTGTTTTTAGTCGTTTAGAGATGGCTACGTGATGACAGCTCTTATTTAGTTGCCGTTCGAAAACTTTGTGTGGCTTCCATCCCCTCTCACATATTCATTACTTACTACTACATAGTCATTTCCCGTTTCTTTTATTGTTACTCGTATAAAAAACCATTTTCAGAAGGGAAGCATCATAAAATATCAAATGTACGCGATGGACCTAGTTTCTATATTGGAGCCAAGTTCTATACCACTTTTTTGAATTGTTTTCCTAGTTGTGATGTCATTTTTTAGAGAAGTTTTCCTGCTTTTTTTGCACAACAATAGAATTTTAAAAGTTTTGTTTTGAGCTGGAAGTGTCTACTTGAAAAAATTTAAGCTGCTGGCTGTTATTCATAAAAATCGTTTGATTTTCAAAAGTACAACCATTTTACAAGGGAACCCCAACACCTTGTGATCAAAAATTTTGTCGAGTTATACCAGTTTCAGTACAAAAAATTTTCAGTGGAAAACAGCAATTTTCAAAAACATTTTTCTCAACTTCTAGGTGTTTCAGAACAAGAAGTTTTGTGTTAAACTTAAAGTTAAACGATGTTTCATACTTGAAGCATTTTTCCAAAATAGTATTTTTTTTTCAATTTTCAAATAAATTACAAATCCAAGTAGTATTTTTAACTTTAAGGAAGTATTTCAGTATTTTTCCATGATTTGGATGAGAGATTTATTCAAAAGTCTAACTTTCAATTTTGAGCGAAACAAAACAATTTTCACCCTAGAAGTTGAGAAAAGCTTTGAAAATCGTTTTTTTTTTGCATTAAAAACGCAATTTTCGGTCCTGAACCTGATATAACTCGGCTGAAACTGGCGAACTGGTTCTAAAATTTTGAGATCTGTCTAGATAAATTCTCAATCTATCCTGAAACATTCAGATTCCCTTGTTAGTTCAATTCCCTATTTAGACTCCAGATTCAAACTACTAGAAGCCAATCAAACTTCAAATAAATAATCAGAGTTGCTTAATTTTTTTAAAAAGTCATGTGAATTTTCACGCAACAGTAATTTTCTTCGAAAATTTTAGCTAGAACAACTCAAGATCAATTTTTTTTTCGGTTCAGTTTTACTTCCTTGTCCGTCTATGTTTGTTCTGGTAGACGGCTTTTTCGAACTTTTTTAGATTGCAGACACATATGAAAATATATCCGGACAGGAAGAAACATCTGGGGCAGATGAGAGTTTTTATTTTTCATTATGGAGAGAATCAAAAAATGAGTTGCGATCTTAGATGTATTCACATTTTTTTCTTTCTAGTGGCTCCCATATGTCCTTTTTTCTTCTGACCTCATGAACTTTGGTTCTCGCTTCTTCTTTTTCGTTTTTCCTGTTTCTTTTCAACCGAAACTCGATTATCTCTCAACTAGACCCTTCTCTTTCCCTTTAAACCAATTTTTAGCTTGTGTTTCAGCGTGTAATTAGGACAACACTTCGAACTATGGCTCTGAACTCAACTATCGTATCCTTGTTATCAAATACCACGTTGATGGATCGAACCGATCTACCAGGACTGTCGACATGTACTTATCCAACCAGTTTCGCTGAAGTTGATTACATCAGCACCTACATCTATCTACTGGCAATTCCATTCATCTGTGTTCTGGGTGCATGTGCTGCTGTGATGTGCATTGTGGTATTTACACGGAAGCAGATGAGGTGAGCTATAAAAATTCCTACTGTACTTTAAAATTTGAGATTCAATTAAATGTTTTGCTCTTTGGAATGAAATTCAATTATATAAATGTAAGCTAACATTTTCAGACAAAATTCAATTTAAGATTTTTTCTGAAATTCTATTATATTTTTTCTACCCACCATATATACAACAAATGTATTAATAATCTTCTCATAATCTTTTTATAAGATTCTCAAGACTAATTTGCCATTCCTAGTCTGGCCAAACACACATAGGGGAGAAGGGAGAAAAGTTCATGTAAACTGAAATAATGAAAAAAAAAGATTTTCTTAGAAAAAGGGGTCTTTCTTGCAGATCATCTCTCAACGTGTATCTCGCTGGTTTATCGGTTTTCGATCTCATCTTGCTTTTCTTTAGCGCACTAACCTTTTCGCCACTTCAAGGCTGCGTTTTGCAGGTGAGTGAAAGGAAGGGAGAGATGATATTGGAATTTCTAATAAGATGTGTATGAAGAGATAGTCCCAGCAATTTATTCAAAAGCTCAAAACGTGATATTGACAAAAAATGAGAGGCAAGGATGATGGCATGAAAAAGGTTCTAAAATGCATGTTACATAAATCCAACAAAAAAAATATTGAGTAATAAGTTCACCAACCATAAAGGCACATAATTTGGAGGGCACAACAATATCGGGGGTACAATGGCGTAACAAGTAATTTATGGTACAAAATCCACAGTGCGGAGTACAAAATTCGGATTTTTCAGGTACATTGTACTCCCGAATTAAGGATTTTGTACCCCTAAGTTGCTTTGTACCTCAATGACCCTAAAATTTTTCCACTCTCCGAATTGTCAGCCTACCTCAAAAATGAGTCTCTGACGTGGAAGAGATTAAAAACGCATTCAATTTTCTATTCATATCACAGGGACATGGTGACACTGCAGTGTGTCATTTTTTCTGGCGAACCACACCTTGGACGCTTCCAATCTCCAATATTGCTCAATGTGGAAGTGTTTGGACGTGCGTTGCAGTGACGGTTGATCGATTCCTGGCGGTCAACTATCCACTACATAGTAAAATTTGGTGTACTCCACGACGAGCAGCTTCGATTCTCTTGGCAATTACGGTTTTCAGTGTTTCTTTTAAGGTAAGACATGACAATATAAAGTGTAGATTTTGAAGAAATGAAAAAAAAACGTGTTTCTCAGTTGATTTAAACCGTTTTCAGGAGTCTGAAGCTTGGCTGTCAAGTGTCGGATCGTTTTGAAAATTTTAGAGATCATAAAACAGATCTAGAAGTTTTGCATTCTGAGCATTTTTTGAAAATCTCTGGTTTTTCAGTTTCTGAATGACACCTGCTTTTTTGCACGCTTACAGTTCAAAAACACACAAGAAAGGATTGTAATTCAGAAATCGACGAATAGCTGAAGATTTAAAAATTTTCAAAAAATTCTGTGAAAGCAAAGTTTTTAATCTAGATCTGTTTTATACCCTCCAAAATTTCCAAAGTTGTCCGAAATTTGATTGCCGAGCTCCAGACAATCAACTGAAAAACACGTTTTTATATATTTATGACCAGCATTGTAATTTTCTTTCAAAAAGTCTCTACTTCCAAAACTATAAGTAATCTTTCACGAGAGCAGTCATTTTCAGGCACCAATGTTCTTCGAACTGACCAACGATGAGTGTGGTCGACTGAGAACTTCTAGTCTTAGAGATAACAAGTATTACAAAGAGTACTATGTAACATTTGGCTACCTAATTGCGCTTCTTTTGATTCCTTGGGCTGTAATGATCGTTTTGAATGTGTTTGTGGTGAAAGCGGTACACAAGGCTTACAAGATTCGGAGATCCATGCAAGGAGGGAAGAATAATCAAGAGGAGAAGGATCGAAGGTGAGTAGATTATGTAATGGTTTCATTTTCATGAAAATAGCAAAGTTCTGGTTCGGTCTTTAGGTTGACAGTAGTCATTCACAAAAATTTTTATTCGAATAACATCTTTTAAATGATTTTTATTTCCTCTTTTCCTGAGCATGAAACAGCTAGCACATGCACAAGAACCGGACCAATAGCATCTGAAAAAAATGCATGTTTCTTCTTAAAGAGACTATCGCTCAAAACCTGTCCCTTTCCTCTTTTTTACGATTCGACAAAATTCCAAAAAACCGTAGCAAACGTTGTGTTCCCCAAGTTCAGAAACAGTCTCAGATGCACTCTGATGGCTATCGCTATGGTGCTCACTTTCTTGGTGTTCAACGTGGTCGCGGCTGTCAATAACTTGGCGGAGACCGTGTTTAATGTCTCATTGGGATTCTGGAGTCCAATTGGAAACTTGCTGATTTGCTTGAACAGGTAGATCTTACTAGAACAGTTAAGAAAATAGCCCCCCACCAATTTCAGCGCCTCTAATATTGTCATCTACTCTCTTTTTGGAGCTAGATTCCGCCAGATGTGTGTTCTTATGCTATGCGGAAGAAATAGCCGATGGATGGAGTGGCTCAAAGTTGGAAGATATCCTCCACAGTAATTATTTCAGTTTCAATTTAGTAATTATAATTATAATTTTCTAGAAGCATTGTCAGTGACTGGGATGGAAGAGATGGAACCACCAGAAAAACAAGTTTAGATGCTTCAACTGCCCTTTTGAGTGCACGGGTAAGAAACCAAATAAAACACTTGAATTGCTTTTGTATGTTTTTTTTCTGAAAATCTTCTTTTATCCATTTTTCTTTTGCGCCTGCTTCTAACTATCAAATCTCTATTACAGCGTATGACAATTTCAAATTTCATTACCTACCCAATGGTACGTTTCGTGTGGAAAATGGGTTCTACACAATAGAGAAAAACATTGGTTTGGTGTGATGTCCTAGTTTTTATTCATTTCTAAATGATTCTGCATGATATCCTGCCCTCTAGCTGTTGATTTTCCTGAAATTATCTGTTCATTTAATTTCCCTGGTTTTAAAAAACGAATCTGAAAATTCTGTTGGAATTCGTTTCAGAGTTAGATTGAAAGAGTTAGATTGAAACAATTAGAGTGTTTTATAAAGTTGTTATATTTTCCAACTATAATTTTTGTAGAGCTCTCGCCGCTGGAGCAAACGCAGTCAAAGTGGAGCCCCTCATCAGGCAGCAGCTGCTCGAAAAGACACCGTCATCTACACAAGTGCCCAGAACAGACTCTCTCTTCAGAGTACTCCATCTTAAGACAATTAATTGAGCAAAAATCTCATATCTTGTTTCTGTGCATACCGTTCATGAATTCTGGTCTCTTCTCGTTTTACCCTTTATGCATTGAAATGTTATTTTTTAATAGATTTTCTTGTCTCCATAATTTATTTGGTTACTTGCTTTTGCCACCAAACCAACATCGAATTGACATGTAGCTACTGGTTTTATTTTTTTCCGCCATCCCGATTCTTCTCTTTTTCCATATGATCTCTTTTGTGAACTGCTGCTTGGGTGCATTCGGTTCCTTCTGGCTTCGCTAGTAAGAGAAGTAATTTTTTTCTGTTCTGTATTACTCTTGGTTTCAAGAGAAACATTGCTCCTATTGTAAAGACTTGGATGTGAAATTCAATGTGAATGTACTTTCAATGAAATATTTAACTGAATATGTGAATTGTTTTTTTTTTGAGATTTGTAGAAAACCAACTTTAAAAAGGACCAGATATTAATAAAAGTTTTGAAAATCCGGAAAAAGGGATAGTTAAGAAAAAAAAATATAAAAAACACCTATACCAAGGAAGACAAAAGAAGAAAAAAGGAATTCTGCTCATCTCTAGAGGGAATGCAACCAAAAATATTGATGGCATCGAAATGCGAGGAAAATTTTGTAAATTCATAATGCAATCAAAAAAATTGATAAAGTGTGCTTTTGAAAGCTTAAAAATTGCTCCAAGAGGCGAAAAAATATCTGAGTTCTCGTCCGTTTCTAGAAATTCCCAGAAGGTTTTTAATTATTTTTTAATTAACGCGAAAACTGACAATTCCAAAACGGCTCTAGACAAGAGTCGGAAAAGAGTTTTCAATTTTGGCGGGAATTTTTTACCTTTTGAAAGTTTTTTAGTTTCTTTCAACATGAGAGATTCTAATTAAATGAGTCGCCTTCTTGGATTATTTTGGGACACTCTAGAGATCGACCTCACACGCAACACACAACATTTTCCCCTTGTTTCCCCTATGTCTCCTCGTCATGCAAATGTGTAGCTGGCTTGCCTCGTCGTCTGGACACAATTGACCGCCGCTCGTTACTAATAGCAACGCGCTGCAGTAAATTCTTCCCCCGTTCTCTTTTTCATTTCTCCATAGCCCCAAGATGTCGGCCCCTCCACGCCGCCCTGTACCAATACCATCCAATAATTTGTTCAGGTTAGTGAAATTGTTTTTTGTTTTTTAAGATTTATTTTAAAAATATTTTCCTCTTGAGAAGTGTTTGATTTCAACGGAATTTGTTGGAGAACAAATGAGAAAAATATGTTTCCAGAGAAGATTCCTCGTCTTCGTCAGATAGTGAGATAATTATTCCACAAAACAACGAAGTGGACATTGTAAAAGCTGGAAGTGATAGCGATGTCGATGAACCTTTTGATCGGCCCGTTCCACGACTGGTGTCTGAAGAATCGACCCCAGTGGAAATCATCCAGACGGAAGATGATCGCTGGGGCGAAGAGCCGCCTAACAGACACCTACGAAATCGAAGGGTCTCTTATGGAAAAATTCCCGTCCCTCCGCAAACAATGACAGCCGAAGACATTCAGGAAGCTGCTAAAAAGGTTCTCAAATAGTATTCCTGAAAAGGTAGCAAACTTAATTTTTCAGAGCAGAGAGGAGCAGGGAAATGTGGCACAAGAAGTTCGCAGACCAGTGGACCCAAGAAGGTCCTCAGTCAGTTTGGATGTTTTCAAAAGTTTTCGGGACCCTCATGACAGGAAGAACATGCCAGCAAAGGATAAGACCATCTATGTTGAAGGAGCAAGTAGGTGTTCCATAGTTTCAAAAAGATAATGAAATTTTTTGGAGATGGAAGTTTTCGTGAAATGAAGAAAGGGCTATTTTGGGACACTAAAGAGCCAGTGAAATCGAAGCGTGAAGAAAAGAAAGAGGAAGACTCAATCATCCCTCACATTCTAAAAGCTCCAGGCCAGGCGTTCCGAGCCCAGCGAGCATATAATCAGGTTGCCAATATTGTGCAAGGATTCTTAGCCGGTGTGACAGTGATGCTTTCTATATTTTCATTCAATCTCGATGCCTACGTAGGTTTTTTTTTTCAAAAAAAACCCCACCGTAAAACCTGTATTAGACGAGACTTTTCACTTTAAGCCAACTGTTCTCTTTTCCTGTCAAAAATATTAAAAAGTTATCAATTGACAAATGGTTTATCGTAACAGCATAAATGTTTTGTTAGTTTGCAAATTTTCAATGCTCTGCATAGAAATTCAGATAATTGAGATTTAACAGTGTGCTCCTTGTGGCCCTTCTTGTGCAGTTTTTTAAAAATATTTAACTTTCAGGTATTGCTGAGTGGATACCGTTATTTGAGTCTTCCAATCCATGCTGCATTTATGTGCGCGTTCACTATAAGTTTCGTATCGGCGATTGATAGGTTTGTAAAGATAAAAAAGTGACACATTTCTCGAACTTTGAATTTTCAGAACTGGAATCTATGAAGTTGAACATTTTACTTCCAAATCTAGGCTGTATGCTACAGTTTACAACAATGGACTTTTTACATTTGTCGTATGGTTCGTTGGGTTGATATCAACTCTTCTTTGTATCCAACTGGAAAGTCAGTTGGCATTTGCGGTAAGAATTTGAGGCTATGTTCGTTAAACATTTCCCTTGGAACACCGTTTGTCTTCCAAAATCAAATGCATTCTTTTCTAAAAGGATAATGTTCTGAACCTCATTTCAATGATTTTCCGATTCATAAAATCAGAAAATGATTTTTGAATTAAACTATGGAATGAAAAATCATCTGTTTTGGTCACGGTACTTGAACTTTTCAGCTCTATCCTCTAACTCTATGTATATCGAATAATATAGTTCTTGAGTTGAAGATCAGCAAATTTTGAGTTTTAAATTAGATATTAATGCACTTAATATACTACTTTATTTTGAAATCAAAATATTCTTAAAAGTTAGTGTAAACATCAAGTGAAATTCGTCTGCCTGTTTGGAAATAGAGGGATGTTCCAAAGAGAAAACGGCTTTCCTTCATTTCTCACTCTTTTTAGTTGAATTTTTGAAAGAAACCGGTTTACCAAGGAAAATGTTCATGAATATGACCTAACATAAGATGTCAAGTCGAGATTATTGATTATTTCTTTCAGCCGACGAAAATCCCATCAGATGCTCTTGTCCGCCGCTGGAGAATCTACAGCGTATTCAGAGCGGTTACTGCTGCACTTGGCTTTTTAATTCTGGCATTCAAACCCGATTCTGATACGATGGCCAAAGAATTGAGAAAGTATGTTCTTAATTTTACAGTTTCAATCAAATTGTCCGATTTTCAGAGCGATATCTGATCAAATGGAATTGGTGACACATGATCCTGATAGGAAGAACATTATACTGACAGCCATGAAAATTTGAATCAAATGGTCATTCTTTATTTCTAACGTATTTACATTCCCATACTTTTTGTTTATTAAATAAAAAGCAAAATTTCATTCTCAGGAAACATTTTCTTTTGTTTTAGATTTTTTGGCGGAATTGAAGAATTGTGTTTGTGTGCAATTTTCAATTTCCTCTTTGGCAGCCGCAATCAATTTTTTTTTTGATAGAAATGCCTCCCTCTCAATCCAACGCCCATTTCTTTTGTTTTCTCGATTAACTGTGGTTTTATGAGCAGCCCTTTTTAAAGGTTCAGGCTCTAGGAGTTCCGTTTTATTGGGTTCTGTAGTTTTATGGGTTCTTTTAGGAGAGCACTCAGATTAGGGAGTTTTTTTTCGATTACTGTAGTTTTATGAGTTTTGTGTGTTCTGAACCCAACTTTTTTTCGGAGGCGGGGCTATAGAGGGCTTCTCCAATTTTCTGAGAATCTTGGCAGTCCCATCAAAGAGGTTTGTATTTGATTACTGTAGTTTTATAGGTTTTGTGTTTTGGACAGAAGAATCTTTTTTTCAGAGGGCGTGGCTATGGAGGGGTCCTTCAATTTTCTGAGATTCTTTGTTCCTTTGAACTTCCATTCTATCCCTGGCATCCTGAAAGAAGCAATTCCTCAATTTCGTTTTTGTGAGTGACAGAGCATTCTTTTTCTCAGATAGTCAACGTCGCCCTATGCCCTCGACTACCATTCCCCGATTTTTTTTCGGAATGACGTGTCCTCCCATCAGAGCTGAGAGGAATAGAGCCCTCTCTCAGCTTGATGAAACCCCTCCCAACGAATGCCTTCCCAACGTTTTTTATTTTATTTTCTCTCCAAGACAATTTCGTTTTTTCTTCTGCTTCATTCATCTTTTTCATTTTTAAACAAAGCTGATATTTTACGTTTACGGATTTCCCGACATTTTTAGACAATCTTCGAAATCAGCAAAGACTTGCACAATTACAGTTTTTGGAAAGCAAAGCCTATTCCTCCGAGTTTAGCGCTTTTTAAGTATGTACAGTACCGGTCAAAAAGATATACAAAAACGTGTTTTCAGTTGATTTAGACCATTTTCCAGAGTCTGAACCTTGGCTGTCAAGGGTCCGATCATTTTGAAAGATTTAGAGATTATACAACAGACCTAAATTGAAAATTTCAGATTTACAGAATTTTTGAAAATTCCTAGTTTTTCAGATATTTCCGAATTCTGAAGACACTTCCCTGTTTGCACGCTTAAAGTTCAAAAACAGGAGAAAAAGGGTTGTTCTTCATAAATCGTCAAATATCTGAAAAACAAGGAATTTTCGAAAAATAGGTAAATGTGAAATTTCTAATCGAGTCTTTTTTATACTTGCAAAATTTTCAAAGTGATCGGACACTTGACAGTAGTGTTCCTGACACCTGAAAAAAGTCAAAATCAACTGAAAAATGCGCTTTTGCATATATTATTGGCTGGTACTGTAACTTCGCCGAATTGAGATGCAATAAAGGAAAAAAAATGCATATTGACACTTTTGTTACCGTAATTTTAAAAAGACTAACCGGAAAGATAACATTGAGAATCAAGCAAAAAAAGTGATTTTTGTGGTAGAGAGCAAAGATATTCTATCTCTTCTTGCCCATGGTGATTTTTCTTTTTCTTTTGATATTTCAAAAGATAAAGTTTTCAATTTTTCTTGTATTTTCCAATTAATAAGAGAATACCTTTCCCCCCAATATTTCCCGCAGTATAAAATCAACAAAAACGCTGTTCTCAGTAGGTGACTCGCTATCTTTTCTGTTGTGTACTTTTATTCTACTTGTTGTCTTTTTGTTGCGTGTGACCAAGGTGAGAAAAATTAATGGGGACACATCTTCGAAAAGGGCAGCAAACTGTTTAGCGTTTTGCGTTTTTGCATGCCTATCACGGTCATGAAGAAAAAAGAACATTAACCAATGTCACACCACGCTAATGAAGACAGAAAACTGTCAATTAATATACTTACCGAGATTGGCATTATCTTATTCTTCGTATTCAATTCTATACTCTCTTCCACGTGAAGCACTACTTCACCTCTTTTTTGTGACAGCTTCGCGTCTTCACCAACACATTTTGTTTAAACTTTCTCTTGAGCTGACTCATGTTCCCAAGTGTTATTAGCGCATTTTCAATTTTTTTGTCTCTAGCTCGCTTTTTTTAGTTCCCTATCGAAATTTCTATCTACTGAATTTTACAGTGATGTCTTACAATGTGCGGGAGCACTCTTCTAAAAAAATCGCGTACTACTATGACAGTAACATTGGAAATTTTCACTTTGGCCCAGAACATCCAATGAAACCAAATCGTATTCGATTGGCCCATCAACTAGTCACAGCTTATGGGTTGTATCGGCATATGGACATTTTTGTAAGTTGATGCTACCGTGTCCCAAAATACTTTGACTATTTCCAGAGGCCATTTCCAGCAACACGTAAAGACATGCAAGAGTTCCATCCAGAAGACTATACATATTTCCTATCGGTAGCAGAGCCACAACGAGTTGAATGGCTTGCGAAAGACATGAAAAAATGTGAGTTTGGTTCATGTGAATTTTTTGTGTTTATGTACGCTTCTCCTGTTATGATCAAAATAAAGGAGAAGAGCGTCGCGTTATCATTTGTGAAGTTAAGTTCGCAACAATTGTGTCGATTTTTGGCTGATCAAGTACACAACGCTTTTTGCAAAAGAAAAAGTGCAATGATTGGCATTGAAAGATCTGTGAGATTAGAATCAATGGTGTCAAAAATTGACACCTAATTGTCAGTTCTCCTTTCGGTTTAGAATTGATTTATTGCCACACTTTCAAAGGTCAAACAGTTTTCTGAGACCTGACAGTTTCTAATTCAACAAGGAATCATAAATTTATCATGATTCAAGTTGTATTGATTTTCAGATTCTGAGATTTTTAAATTGTGAACTTTTGTATAATAATTCTGAGTTGAGAACAAATTTTTAGAGTTTGAGATTCAATCCTCGAATTTTGAGATTTCGTTATAGAATTCTAATGTTCTGTCAATCTGAAGATCAGAAGTTTAAAACATTGAAATCCAAGAATGATTCTGAAATTAGAAGCATCTTAAGTTCTGAAATTCCGAAATTCTGAAATTCAGAAATTTTGAAATTCTGAAAATCTAAAGTTTACTTGTATTCTGAATAGTTTAATATTCTGAAATTATGAAGTTTGGAAACTCCAAGATTCTGAAATTCCGAAATTCGGAAAATCAGAAATTCAGAAATTTTTAAATTCTAAAATTCTAAAAATTATGAAATTCTAAAAATTCCGAAATTATGCTCTCAATTTTTGGGTTTTTGGGGCTCCGACATCCTGAAATTCTAGGATGAACATTTTTGGGCTTTGAGATTCTGAGCCTCTAAAGTCTTGAAATAGTGAAATTCCGAAATTTCGAAATTACGAGGTTTTGTGATCCAGAGATATAAATTTGTAGATTCTGGGCACTAAAGATCAAAGAACCTGAAAAAATTTAAATCTAATATCGAAACTTTCAGATAACATTGGTGAAGACTGTCCGATCATCTCAGATCTCTTCCAATATAATCAGACTACATGTGGGGGTACACTTGCAGCAGCAACAAAACTCAACAAGCAAAAAGCTGACATTGTAATCAACTGGATGGGAGGTTCAAGTCATGCAAAATATGCAGAAGCAAATGGATTTTGCTTTACCAATGACGTTGTTCTCGGAATTCTCAAATTACTTGATTTCCATCCTCGTGTTCTCTACGTCGACATTGATGTTCTCCATGGCGATGGTGTAGAAGAAGCATTCTACTGCACTGATCGTGTAATGACGGTTTCATTTCATCAATATGGAAAAGGAGTTTTTCCGGGAACTGGAAATGTGCAATCAATAGGAGCTGAAGAAGGAACAGGATACTCTGTAAACGTTCCACTTAAAGAAGGGATCACCGACAAAGTTTATCAAAGCATTTTCAAACCAATTATCACCAAAGTGATGGATCGATTCGATCCAAGTGTGATCGTTCTTCAATGCGGACCAGATTCACTCTCAGGCGATAAAATTGGAAGGTTCAACCTTACTCTGGATGGGCATGGAGAATGTGTCAGCTTCCTAAGATCATTCAACCTCCCATTAATGCTTCTCGGTGGTGGTGGCTTCAATTCTGATAATGTTGCTAAATGCTGGGCAAATGAAACAGCCATTGCTTGCGGCCAAAATCTCCCGGTTAGACCACCAGGGAACGACTACAAGAAATACTTCCGGTCCAGTTTCCGTCTTCCAGTCAAGCCTTCAAATATGGCGAATCACAACAGACCAAAAGAGTTGGCTGCAATTCAACGGGAGATATTTGCAAACTTGAACAGTTTACCAGCAGTTCCAAGTGTTCAAATGCAACGTGAGTTGTTTATATGATCTTAATCAATAAATTTAATAAATTTCAGCGATTCAAGAGGAAATTTTAGCACCGTTGCCAGAAGTGTCACAAGTTCTTGAAATGGCCAACCCGGATGAGAGACTCCCACCACAAGTAATGGATAGTGTTGTTGCACACGAAGGAGAATTCTACGATTTTGAAAATGGTTCTGGAGCAAATCGCGGAGTCGTTCAGTACGCGGACATGACACCTCCAGACGACTGGTTTTTGGATGATTTTTTCCAAGACTTGCAAACGATTGAAATGAGATCTGAAATGGTTTAAAAGAACTATTTCTTCTTTTGATTATCGTGTTCTTATCTCCCCTTCCATTTCAGAATTGTACATTCTTTCTTTCTTCCCACCAAAAGGTGTGTATCCAACTATACATATTTTTTAGGATAAGTTGGTTCCAGAAGCACATGGGATATTGTGGGAGGAAAAAGATAATTTTTATTACATACTACCAGTTAGTTTTTCTGTTTCGATTTGCAGGCTTAGGCTTAAACGCTCTACATCCCATAGTTCTATTTACCCCATTTTTGAACCAATTTACCCTAAGAACTTGATGTACCCTCGATGTTCCCATTTTTTGGTGTAGTCTTGAATCCCGGAAAACTCGTCATTTGTTTGTTTGCCATAATAACTCTTTTTACGAATCATATTTTTTGAATTTAATTCCAGAATGCTACCAATTCAGAAACTGAAAATTATTAGTGAAAATTTCTGTCAACTTGTTTCTGATTTTTATAATACTTTTTCCTTTTTCTTTGTCTATTTTAACATTTTACTTCATTTTCAAAAAATAAAAAATTGTATTTTTTTAAATATTTTCTATATATTATTGAAATCAGTTTTTTCTTTACTTTTTTCCGTTCACCATCTTTTTTTTTTCTTCATTGATCACACTGTCCGGTTGGTGAGCAATTTGTGAGGAGTGTGAGAAAACGGAAGATTTTCGTTTTCGTCGCGGGGAGGCTCCTCTCAAGTGCTTTGTTTCGCGTAGTCGACACGAAAAAATATACATGAAATGTGTATTTTTCTTATTTGCAGTCCGACAAACATGCCTGCCGATCTTTTACGCATATGAGATATTAGAATCGCATGGTTTCCAAAATGTTTCTTTTTTCTTTATTATTTTTGATAATTTTCATTATTTGAAATTCTAAGAACGTTGTTTGTGTTTGTATTAACGTTACAAAAATGTGTTTTCATTTAACTGGATATTTTTAAACTGATTTAAAAAAATTTTCAAATTGTTTCTTCAATTTTTTGTTATTTTATGATAAGGCGTTTTTTTTTTGGTTGAAAAATTGCATTTTTAGAGTTACATGGCTCTCCAACTATTGAAACGACCTCGACCGCTTCCTGCTTTCAAAGACGAAGAAAAGGGAATCTATGCACAATGGAAAATTAAAGTAATATTTTTCCAATAATTTTATTTAAAACAAACATTAAAAATTCCAGGGATTTTACTACCGAAAAGCGGGATTTCCGAAAATGTCTGTCAAAGGAGTAGCTAGAATTCGATACGCAAAATTGGAAGTTGAAGGAAAACTTCCACATTTTACAGTTTCAAAGCAATTAGTGAGTTTTCGATGGTTTTCTTTACTAGAATTGGGTTTTCAGGTAAATATTGGATATGTAGAAAATGTGAATGATGATATTTTGGATATAAGAGGCTGTGACTTCCGGTTGCTAATATTTGGAGTTCAGCATGTTGAAGTGAGTTGGCAATTCAAATTCTAAACATATATCATAATTTATTGACAACAAGTTGCAGATTATTCGAGACTGGCTCCGTTTTCTGGTTATAAGACAACGCATTCCACACTCACTTATGGGTCTTCCGTTTGATTGGCAGGTACAGTAAGAGAACGATATTTCTGGCCAAGAGTTAGAATGACCCATTATCTGACCGTTTTCTTTTGCAATGATTATTTTCCAAATGTTTAGTTGGGCAGCAATGTACATATTTAGATACCGTGGATGATCTAATAGAAACACACTCTATATGTACACTTTGAGCTCAATTATTTTGGTTCCAACAAGAGTTTAAGCAAATCTGTCAGCTGAATAAATGTTCATCATAATAACCTTGACAACCTGTCAGTTGGGATATTTTTACATCGTTTGAATGAACCGAGAAAATTGAGTGCACATTTTATATTCCTTTTAATTTCAGGTGAAACCAATACGAGATGATCAAGAATTGCAACTATCTCGCATTTCACCGTTCCACTGCTTCAAAATTTGGTGATCTATATAAAAGTTTTCGGGCCTCATCCCAAATATTCCGTTAATATGTATTAAAACGAATGAATGCTCTTGAAAAATTTCAAATTATTTTTTTCTTGAAAAAACATTTTTTTAAATTATACTTTACTTCTCTCTTTAGTTTGTTTTCTACTTGCGTCCATTAAGAACGATGAGATGTTTCTCTTGACAAATCAACGTTTCCGCCGAAAGTTCTGGCGTGATTCACAGAAAACTATGAGTGTGAAAATCTTGAAAATTACGAACACAGGTGAGTAAGCATGTTGAACTACGTCATACCACTATTTCAGCTTATCAACAACGTGTTTGATGACGTTTCTCTTTTTTGGGCAGTATAAATATGAAGTTTCACTCGATTTTCAGCATCAATTTGTTTCTTACTGTTCCACTTTCCCATTTTTTGAAACATATATAACTATCCCTTCTTGAAAATATTTAATTTCATTTTCCAGCTAACAAAAATTATGGCATACTACGGAAACGGAGGATACTCTCCTTACGGTCAACCTGCTTTTGGAGCGCCACCACCAATATTTGGAGCTCCCGGATACATTCCAGCAACTGTCCACGTTCACACTGATGGACATCATCATGGTCATCATCACCACCATCATGGATTCCTCCACGAGTTGGGACATGCTCTGACTGGACATCATCATCATCACCACCACGGACATCATTTCGGACACCACCACCATCACCATGGACATCACTAGATTTTTACTTCTTACAATTTTCTTTATGATATTTATCATTGCAATCTCTTTATAATGTGAAATGCATAATTGAATCAATTCGTGCTTGACTTAATAAACTTTTACAGTAATACAAATGCTTTAAAATTCTTTTAAAAAACAAAACAAAATAAACACAGGAAAAATCCAAACCGTATGTGAAATTAAACATTGACTGATAAAAATGTGTCAATCCCAAAATGTTGAGTTTTTTTTGTTTCTTGGGAAGCTTTTCAGTTAGAGAAAGGTTGTCATAATGTTAAACAATATATTTTCCAAAAAAACTTTGATGAAATTCCTCTTCACTGTGAACTTTAAGACAATTTATTTTGGTTACTGTGGAAAATGCCAAATAGTAACAACCTACTAAATTATAATCTGAATATCAAAATTATTTTGCTAATTGACCAGTTTTGACACTTCTTACAGAGAAAAATTAAAAATGATTCAAAGCGAACACTTCGATGGTTCTGAATAATGCAGTTCAAATATTCAAAAAACATAACAGAAAGTCTGTTCTAAATTTGTAGCAACAACATTTTGTTTACGAATCGTTTTGAAAAATTGAATTTTTCCAGTTTCGAATTTTTCCATGCATTTTTTGTTTTTTTTTCTCTCAAATTATCAAAAATTTGTGATAAAACCCAAGACGGTAAAATTTCACATGCAATTTTCTCATTTATTTTTTCACAGACATGAATCAAAAGCCATGACAATTCCTCTTGGCAAGTCAGCATTATGACGGAAGCTTATGACGGAAGCTTATGACGGAAGTTTTTGAGCGATTCATGAAAAATCTTGGGTGTGAAACTTAAAAAATTACGAACACTGGTGAATAAGCGTGTTGAACTACGTCATAGCACTATTTCAGCTTATCAGCAATGGGTTTGATGACGTTTCTCTTTTTTCGGCAGTATAAATATAGGGTTTCAGCTTGATTTCGATCATCAATCCGTTTCTTACTTTTCCAGTTTCCCATTCTCTTTGATATTACTTTTAGTTCATGAAAATACTTCTTCAAATGCAATAGTCGCTATTTCCAGCTAACAAAAACATGTCATATTACGGAACCGGAGGATATTCTCCTTACAGTCAACCTGCGTTTGGAGCACCACCACCAGTCTTTGGAGCTCCTGGATACATTCCTCCAACTGTTCACATTCACACTGATAGACATCATCATGGTCACCATCACCATCATCATGGATTCCTTCATGAGTTGGGGCATGCTCTGACTGGACACCATCACCATCATCACCACGGACATCATTTTGGACACCACCACCATCACCATGGACATTGTTGAATTGTTCCTTGAAAATTATCCATGATTATTTCGATATTTATCAACTTTTATCTCTTTGTTATGTGTAATGCATAATTGAAACTTTATTGCGCTTGACTCAATAAATTTGTGCTGTATGTAACAAAATTTTGTTAAAGGAGGCCAGACACGAAAGTCTACGGGGTTTTCTTGGGGCAAGATCATGTATTCTGACGGAAAATCGTGCTATTGCGATCAATGCGCGCTACCTGACGGTCATTTATTTTTTTAGAATACACTAGATTTCTTCACTGTTTGGCACTTATTCCCGACTTTTTCTCGTTATTCGGCCATTTTAGGATGTCGCCGCATGAAAACAGAAAAAAAACGAAAACACACATATGGGAGTCGAACCCGCGATACACGACTGATACAAGCGCGCTCACCTTTACACCACACAGCGTTTGTCGGCATCTGCCTCTAAAACGATTATGAAACGAGGAGTGGGCGCCGCTTAGAAGAACGGTCGCGTTCTCGCTTTTACAGTAACAGGGAGTTATGGTTTTGTGTCCATTGTTATTTTCTGACTGTATTGTGGCAAATATCAAAAAAAAAATAGAATTTTGAAAATTCTCATGTTTGGCCTCCTTTAAAGTTTCCTTGTAATAATAAAGTTCGAAGCCAGCAAAATACAATTTGGGAACTGGTTTTATCGTTTCAAAGACTGATTTCAATCCCAAAGACCTGTTTTTTTTGTTTGTTAGAAAACAGGACCGTAAAAAAAGAGTTATTTCAATAAAATGTATTTTTTGTAATCACTCTAATAAAATGTCCATTTACAGTCAAATAGTATAATAACGCTCCCACTGCCCACATTAAGCCAATTATCTGGTTTCTGGTGAAAGATGCCAAAAAATGGTAACTGGCAAAACGTTTATCATAATGTTTATACTTGCGACGAAACTGGCCGGGTCGGGCCTTCAAAACGTTTGTCAAGTGACATATTTAAAAAAAAACAATTTTTTTCAAAAACTAATTTTTTTGTTAAAAAATTTCCAAAAATTAATCAAAAATTTTTTTTGATAAATTTCGACCAAAAATACCCATCCGGGCCTTCCGGGCCGGGCCGGGCCTTCAACGATTTTTGCAAGTGTGATAATGTTCCAGTTATATTGCCAGTTGACCACTTTTTAAAATGTTTTACAGCGATCAAGAATTATTGTTTCGAAGTGAACAATACGATAGACTGGAGTGTTTACGGTAGATAGTATCAACAAACAAATTCAGTTCAATTCATTTTAAAAACAAAATTTATTTTTCTATCTGTTTCCTAATTCTTCAACTTGAAAAAGTCAAAGATGTTCCAGTTTGTTTTTTTTTATTCCAGTTTGTCACCGATCTATGTCACAGGAAGAATGACTAAGCCGCGTAAAAAAAGTCACCAATTATGCAAACTCAACGATGCTGAAAAAGGCGGAGGAAGAGGTCATTGTTGACTCTTATCATGTTTTATGACGACAAATTTCGATACTAGCATTTGTATAAATAGCAAGTGGAAAACTTTTTCAGTACCTCTTTTTACTTTTTGGCGTTTCTTTCCATTTCCTTCTACCATCTTTCACATTCAAATTTGTGAAAATTCAATCTTCGCTTTTTTCCAATTAACAAAAACTATGTCGTACTACGGAAACGGAGGATATTCTCCTTATGGTCAACCTGGTTACGGAGCACCACCACCAGTTTCTGGAGCACCTGGATACATTCCACCAACTGTTCACGGTCAAACTGATGGATATCATCATGATCATCATCACCACCATGGATTTTTACATGAGATGGGCCATGCTCTGACTGGACACCATCATTATCATCATCACGGACATCATTTCGAACACCATCATCATCACCATGGACACCACTGAATGCTTACTTTGAAATTTTTTTTTGTTTATTTTGATAATTATCACTTCTTTCATTTTTCACTAACGAATGCATAATTGAACAAATCTGTGCTTCACTCAATAAGCTTCTACCTTCATACAATCTTGTGATTCCTCCCTTGAATTGAAAAAAAAATCGGAACCTTGCTGGAAAAATACAAATTCATAACTGGATTTATCGTTTCGATGTTTTCCAAAGCTATTCTCAACTTACAGGAAAAAATATCCCTCGTTTCTATTTGTATAACAATACTACGCGGCTTATAACAAGGAGGTGACTAACTTACCAAGGTTTTACCAAAAAGTTATATCACACAGGAAAATCTATTGATGGCTCTAGTGGAGTCAATACCAAGTATGCAATTTGTCATTTTGACGTCAAAGAATACTGATTTATAAATGTAATTCCTACTTCTGTGTTACTGGAACTGTGTTTTGAGGTGTGTTCCTCTACCTCAACAACTAAACTATGTTCTCAAACAGCCATTAATCTGAGCCAAGGATTTATCGTATTATGGGAACAACATTTCTCTTCAAGATAAATGTTGATAACATTGCTCACATGATTTTTGGTTTCTATCAGATAAATCGAAAACATCAGTGTACGCTTATTATCTTCATAATCATATCAAAATATAACTTGTTTGATACTGTACTTATGAGAAGAATGACATTTTGAAATATCCAGTATTCAACTATTTACTTCAGGAGTTTTTATTGTTGTTTGAATTTTCAGTTTCTGTCAAGGTCTAATCGATTGATTTACGATTTGAAATGTTAAGTCTTTTCTTTCCCAGTTTAAAAATACATGTTTCAGAAAATCATGACATTACTGCCACGTCATCATTTTCCTCCCAACTTATCGGTGTTAAGAAATGTCAAACAAAAGGTTGTTGGTTCTTATCAATTTTTAGACGTTTTTATTTCCAGTATATAAATCACACATGGAGGTAAAAATGTCACATTCTTCTTTTCTCTATTCAGTTTTTCATTCATTTTGAAGTCAAAACTCAATTTTAACTTTCATTTCCTTTCCACGTCTTAACAACTGTTTTAATTTTTCTACAATCATACTTGTCCAAATTCAACCGTTGCTTTTTCCAGCTAACAGAAAATATGTCGTACTACGGAAACGGTGGATACTCTCAATACACCACTCACCAATATGGAACGCCAACTCATATGACTTCTGGATACACTCACACCACTGTCACAGTTCATTCCGATGGCCATCATCACGGCCACCACAATCATTCACTCCATCATGATTTGAGCCATCACGGACACCACGGACATCATCATCATGATCATCACCATGGTGGCCATCACTATGATCATCATCATCACCATCACCATGGACACCACTGAATTGATTCCAGACCTTATTTAATAATGTTATTCAAAATTTCAATTTTTTCAATTTCAATTTTTCAATAGTTTCACTTGTTTCAATTTTCAATTTATGTAATGAAAATTTTTTGAACAATTTCGGAAATGTTTTGGGAAGAAAAGAAACGGATAATAACTGTAGATATGACTGTACCTAAGCGCTCGAATTTCGCATTTTCACAACCTATTTTCACAGGCCCCGTGGATCCGATTCCAATAATATTAGATGAGAGAGAAATGCTTTCATTTATTCAGGATCTTTATTTTCAGGATTTTTGAGTGTCTAGAACATGAAAAATGAAAACAACATTATGCCCAAAAAGACATAAAAAGTGAGCGGTATTTACGGGAAAATATATAGAATCATATTGAACATTTGCGTAGGCAGGTGGCGTTAATTGGAGGGTTAGTCGACAGGCGTCATGTCCTCCCTAAGGAATGGTGTGCTACTTTTTTTCTTCTGTTTGGGTAGTTTCAATGTTGTGTTCCAAGATATAGTTTTCAGTATAGTTGCCGCTCTAAAAACGTTGCTTCAGAAAATAAGAAATCATTAGAAATGTGAAGTACAGAATACTGAAAAAAAAATGGACTTCATTTTCCAAAAATAGCTCTCACGATTGTGTTGATCTGACCTAATTAGACGTGCTCTGAGGAAATACTATGAAGACGCTTGTGAAACATGTTTTCGTATAGTTCTTAGTAATGATTTCTATCCAGTATTCCTCAGAGATTACTTCAATACCTTTTTTATTATTCTACTAGTTACTCTCAGTTTATTCTGAAAATAAAGTCTGACTTCTTTTTTTTTCTTAAACTCTCTGTCTCTTAGCTCTCCCGTTTCCATGATAACAGAAAATGATTGATGGTTAGTTCGAATGTCAGTTGTGAGCATTTTAGTACTTGACACAGGCTGCTTCATGTACACAACAATATCACGTTTCTGAAAATCTTTCACTTTGAATTTGAGATTTTTATATTCTTTTTTGGTACTTTTGTAAAAACCATAGTGATAATATTAGATTTGCCACGAAATTTGATACAGAGAAGAAGTTATAAAAAAGTTAAAAGTTAATTGGTTTCGGCGCGAGGAATTGGCCGCAATTCGGATTGGAACAACTTTTGGACCTCTAATCTTTCCTCAGTGTGTTGAAACGGGGTGGTTACTGTAATCGCGGTTACTAAAACCCTGGAAAGATAGTTTACAAAATCTTTGGTTTTTTTTTTCTGAAAACGGTTAAACTGTTTGTTGCAAATCTCTACTTTTGTTCGTTCAGATCACTATTTCTTCTATCACTTGCTTTTAGTTGGGTATACTAATTTATTGCAGACATGGAAGATGTTCCATTGTTTCTGACTCCTGTCACAAAAAGTGAAGGTGGTGACAACCCTGCTGAACCGGGATCAAAAGAATTGGAGAAATTTTTACAGCGACAAGCACCATCTTTGAAGGGAGATGAGAAAGTTGGAAATCCGTTAGATCCTTTCCAAATGTGAGTGAAATAATGCTCCAAGAGGCGAAATCTTGAGATAAGATCATGTGACAAACGATATAATTGACTTGTTGACCACAATTTGCTCCATAAAATGACTCGAACTGAGCAAACTGTGGTATTTCAATTGTTTGTCGTTACAGGATCAAACTCTTCACATTCGGATCCGCGAAGAAAATAATTTTAGAACAATCTCGTCTCCAACCAAATTCTGAGAAAGAACTAATCATAGTTTCGTTCTCAAAGATGGAGCACAAAGTCTCAATTATCTCCAAGCAGTTTCCTGACACAAAATGGAGCATTATGATCAAAGGACAAGATTCAGTATTATCAAATAGTTCCTTTAAGTTTGATTCGTCACTCAAATGGAACACATTCACTGAATTGAAACTGAAAAATGATTTGGCCAAGGAAGGAACCAGGTTTAGTTGACAATCTTGCAAATACCAGAAGTATGATTTTTCAGCAAAAATGAGGAAAAGTTCCTTCAAATTCTAACTCTCGATGTCATCACTGCAACATCTAAATTGTTCGATTTCATTTCTGAAATGTATGGGAGCGTCGACAGTCGCTTGCGATTGATGTACGACCTTATCGATAATGGATTAGATGAGATTATAAATATTTTCGTCGAAAAATCGAACATGGTTCAGTACGAGTTCTTTTCTTTTGATGAAAAAGAGACTCTCCTGAAACCACTTCTCCGCAAACTCAACCATCCCAAAGAACTCACTGTTCTGTCACAAAGTTATCCAGATTTCCAATATCATATCGAGCTCAGGAATGTTCTTCTGGAATCTTTCATTAGCTATGGCGCGAGTTTTATGAAACTAGATGAAATCATGAATATCAAATCTGAAAAGATCTGCTTGTTCGAGGTGAATCTGAACCAATTCGATTTGGGAATTATAATCAATGCATGGATGCTTGGATGGAACCCGCAATGGAAAGCACTGCTCATGATGATAGACAATAATTATCTAGAAATTGAGTCACTCGTTGAAGGAAAATGTCTCCCAATGCCCGTTTCCGAGGACTGGGGTTTCCTCGATCGGTGAGTCACAAGAGCTCAATTATCTAAATTTCTGGGAGATATATCGAAAATTTGTCAATTGTGAAAATGTTTGCCGTAACTTTCCCATCATTTTTCAGTTTCCATATTCTTTACATCTCTTACAGAAATTGAGATAATTGAGATAATAGCTTCCAACGTGGAAAATGGGGATGACGTTCTATAAGCTCGTATTTGTACTACATATGAGCCAAATTACCCCGGTTCCCTTTAAAAACGATAAGATATCAATTCAAAAAAACATGTGTCTTGATATGACAAAATATTAATCAGCTGGGAAATGCTCAATACCTTCAACAGGATTTGAGATGCCGTAGACAATCATTAGAACGGCAACCCTAACTTTTAACTGTGTGCCAATTTATATCGGTTCCTGTGATAGATATAAAAAATTGTCAACTGTCAAAACATTTATGATATTATGATTAACAATTTATTATTTGACCAATTTTTGATATCTTCTACAGGAGCAGAGAAAAATTGGCTCAAAGTTAAAGTAAAAGGGTGGGAGTCGTTCTACTAGAATGGCTTTATAACGGTCAACTTTAAGCGCATATATCTCGTTTTTTGTGACAGATATGAAAAATTGATAAACAGACAAAATCTTTATCACACATTCAAAATTATTTTATCAGTTGGCCACTTTTTGTTATCTCTCACAGAAAATGAAATAAATGAGCTCACAGTTGACGGCTTGGAAGGCATTCTATTAGTGTTTGTTGTAGTTGAACTTGAAAAGAAATTTAAAGGGTAGTGCTCTATTAGAGGAAATGCAATAACATGAAAATAATGAAGTACGCACAATATAATGAAATTAAGTTTTTAGGAATCCTCAGTTCCCTCTCATCAAATTTGAAAAAGACGAGCAAATTGGATATCGACGAAGACGTGATGAAGATGGAGCAGCAATCACTTTTTCAATCCGTCAATACAATGTTTTCAAGATAATATTAAGCCCAGCAGAGGCTACCAATAGCTACACTCAATACGATGAGTGGTTCGATACAACAATTAAACGATTCATGTCCGATGACGACTGATATCGTAAAATCACTAATAGAAATAAACCTAAAACATGCATTTTGAGCTCAATTATCTTGTTTTTTCTAACAGATATCAAAAAGTGGTCAACTGATACAATGTTAACCATGATATCATCAACATTTTAGCAGTGAGCCAATTATTTGTATCTTTCATGGCAACCAAGATAATTGAGCTCGAAGTGCACTTGAGCCTCTATTAGTGCATTTACCATATTTTCTTTCAATGTGATTTTTTCATGTTTCGGTGACTCAATTTTTCTGTGACAACTCAAAACCAGCTTGTTCAAAAAATCATGTATTTTTCTCATAATTTTTGTAAATTTATCTATACCTATGAAGGAGCGAGAGTCATTGCTTACTGCACGCCTAACTATGATGTTTAAAAAAATCAAACACCCAAAAAAAACATTTAGAAAAAAAACATATCCCATGATTTGCGATGCTCGAACCTTCCAAATTAATGGTCTTTGCATAACATGACTAATTGAAAATGTTTTACGTCAAGAACTATTTCAATTTATCAGTGAGTGGGTGACTTTTCCGTCAGAAAAGTCTTGTGACGTAGTAAATGTCACTTGTATAAATAGACGGAGAAAAGTTTCAGTAGTCATTTAGTTTTTGTTTTGCTCTTCAATTGAAAGTATTTTGAAGATTCATCTTTTCTTGAAAGTATTTGGATTATTTCACTTTTAATTCTTTTTACTCTTACACTATTATGTTTCTCAGTTCAAAGACTCCTTGAATTTTTTTCCCGCATTTTCTACAACTTGTCCATATTTGATTACTGTTTATTTCCAGCTAACAAAAACATGTCATATTACGGAAACGGAGGATACTCTCCATACGGTCAACCAGCTTACGGTGCCCCACCCCCAGTATATGGGGCTCCTGGATACATGCCACCAACAGTCCATGTGCATACAGACGGATATCATCATGATCATCACCACCATCACGGATTCCTCCATGAGTTGGGACATGCTTTGACTGGACACCATCATCATCACCATCACGGACACCACTTCGGACACCACCATCACCATCATGGACATCACTAATCAAAGTACATACGACAATTTCACTTCCGCCCCCTCTTACTGCCCGCATAATTATCCATGGTCCCCGACATAAATAATTAATGCTTGTAATAATTTCCTATTGCGATAAACACATTATAAATCTAAACCGAATTCTTGTAAACAATTTGATAATACAACAAACAGTTCTTACTTGACCAATAGTTGCGGGATCTCTGATCTCTATAAGTTCTGTGAAGGCCGACAAACTGCAGTCCGTTAGAAGAAGATCTCTATCAGAGGCCGACAGTGCTAACAAATCGAATTAGAGTGAAAAGTATACCTCGGTTTGCTGTGGTCACAACCGCCAAAATACCAGTTTTTGTAAATTTTGTTCGTTTGTTACTCGCCTCTTCGTTTTCAATCATCAAACGGCTCTTTTTTCTTCTGAACACAGCCATTTTTTGTTCACCGCGGTGTGTTGTTCTCCGGTTGCATTAGTTGCCAACTGACACTCTCCACCAGTCCTCACGTACGCGCACAAACACACAACACTCTTTTTGCCCCATGTCGACGCCGACGGCCATCGGTCGAAACCGCTCGCACTCTTTTTCTCAATTACCTCTTCCTTTCTTGTTCTCTTCGTTTTCCTTCTTTATACTCTCTTTCTCCCTTATGCTCTCTCCGTGCGACACTTCTTCTTTCGCCTCGTCCCATGCTTGGCCCGAGAAGAAAGTGTTTACTACTTCCATTTCAAATTTGACCTTGGAAACTTATTGTTTCCCTTTTTAAGAACCTATTTTTTCAGCATCCGGATTGAAATCTCACCGGTATCGCTCATACATGGACGCGGAAGAGGTTTGAGTTTTTCAATTCATTTTTCAATGTTTCAATTTTTCTAATTCTAGTATCTCCGCTCGGAAGAAGAGGATACAACTCCAGGATCACCAATCACAGATATGAACGAATTGTATCAACCTGATGAAGAGGAGGAAGAGCAAGTTGAGGACCAACCAGAGGTAAGAGCTAGTGTGATTAGGTGGAAAGTTAAACAGAAAACACTTTTTAGGTAAATCCAGTAGCTGAAAATGGACCACAACCAGCTGAAAACGATGTTCAAATTGAGGGAAACGTTCTTCCGGCTCCTGTAAGACGACTCCCAGTGATCACTCAGCGCAACCGCGTCATCGTTGAAGACGCTCCACCAGTCGAGCAAGCTCCTGCTGCGGAAATAGCTGCAATTCCAGAAGAAGAAAAATCTCCAGAACAAGATCCTAATGAAGTGGCTCCGGAGGATCCTAATGAAGTGGCTCCGGAGGATCTGGCTGCACCAGAGCCAGTTTTCCTGGTTCCTACTGGTCAACCTCAACGGCTCCCACGTTCGAGTTCAGTCATCACACAAGGAAACAGTGCACCAGTTGTAGTTCCATCAGCTCAAGAAAGACAGCTTCGTCCGAGACCTCAAGCAGCCCCCAAGAGAGCTCCAGAAGATGACTCAGGATCTTCGGCAAAGAGACATCGTGCCAATCAAGTTCAAGAAGCTCCAGTTGCAGCCTTGGGACCTTCGTCAAGCACTAGCGGCACAAATCAGCCGGAAAATAATTCATCTTCAGCACACGAAGTAAGTATTGGGTAATGCCTTCAATCCGAGGTCCGACTTGATTTGATTCTCGGAGAGACTTTGATCATATCTTAAATTCAAAGGGTCATTTAAAACATTACAACTCGAATATCGATACGTTTCTTGTCAAGGGTTGTGGGACATTCTTCGAGAATTATCTGCAATTTTGCTGTATTATTCTCTGAAGAAAATTAACTACAAAATACGTTTCTGACCGTTGACCTGCATATGCGCTATGCCTTTTGAGCCCAAAATTTCCAGCAAATTTTTTGCTTTTGTAGTCGTTTTTTTTTTGGATAACCGTGTCAGGAAGGCACTTTCAATAGAATGCCACGTTTGAGGTCTGGCTCAGAAAAATGTAAAAAAAACCCCGCCTTAAGAAAAAAGCTTTTTAAAAGCATTGTCGTTCAAACTTATGCGTCATTGTTCCTCAAAATATTTGAAGTTTTACGGAAATCTGAATCTCTGAAAAATTCATCAAGAGAATTTCTTGAGAAATACTTCGAAAGGTTCCTTGAGAAAGTCCTCGAAAAATTTCTCACGGTAAATGGCCTAGAACTGGTCTGATGTTCACAAGATGAGGGTTCTAGGTCATTTTGAAGTTGTTCTTCTATGAGCTTAATTTTCTAGGCCATCATCTAGAAATGTCCTAGAAATATCCTGGTGTGTTTTTAGATAATTTAAAAATGATGGCCTAATTTTTGTAAATTGAGTTTTCTAGGCTACCACCAAAATGACCTGGGAAACACATCAGATCAATTTTAGGCCAAAAAAAGGTGGTGGCCTAAAAAACTCAACTTGAAAAAGTTAGGCCACTACTTCCAAATGGCCTAGCAAACACATTAAGTGAATATCAGATACATTTTAGGCCAAAAAAGGTGGTGGTCTAGGAATTTCAACTTGCAAAAATTAGGCCACTACTTCCAAATGTTCTAGAAAACTCAACTTGCAAATTTTAGGCCGTCGCTTCACAATTTCTGAAAAAGGAGAAAAACATGTCAGAGTAAAAATCTAATTCAGACCCTTCTGACCACCTGTTCACTGTTATTCGAGTGCCACTTGGCTTTTTTCGTCAAATCGCAACAAAAAATTCAATACTTGTAGTCTGTAAACTTCTATCCAACAGGAAAATGACAACAAAAAAAAAACACAAATTTTGCCTTTCAGGTTTGTGATAGCCGTACTCAACACACTGACCCAGGAGAGAGATTCCCTCATGGAAATGATAATTTCTGCAGAGTCAAAGGCTGTGATTGTAAAAACACATATCAGGTACTTGCAAAAAACTCAACTTTATGAATACGTTCTGATTTGTTCCAGAATCAATCTTCAAAAAAAAACGCCGAAGAGGACGAGTTATCGATTAAGAAAGGAGTACATTTCAAGGCACGTATCCGGAATGTGGCTCAAGAAAAAAATCCAGTGAGTTCGTAACGCTTTTATAGGTGAGAAATGGCTAATTACTAGATTACATGCTAATTCTCTGTACTAATTGGTATTTGTTGGTTAATACTTTCTTCGTTTCAGGAAGAAGACAATAATGTTGAGAGACGGGTTCAAACTCAAACCCAGCCATATCAGAGAAGAATTGGCATCCAAGGACCAAGATCAGTGAGTTTCACAAACTTAGTACAAAGAGAATACATTCATTCTTGCAGTTTGACTTCTTCAATCCTGACTTGCTACGTGGCGACATCGATAATGAAAAATGTTCGAGAAGTCGTCCATTCCTGCCTAGTACCTATGTAAGTTAACATAATTAAAATTTCCCTATAAAAATCAAATTAGGAAGCAAATCAATACTTCGATATAAGAATAATAAATAAATAAAAACAGTTTGTTTTAGTTGAAGTCAACGTTTTTTTTTAAATTTCAGTTGCACACATCTGACTCCTCCCATGACTATCGACCTGAGACAAGACCAAGACCAATGTATGAGGAATATATGAAGCGGCGATCTTGATTCTTTTGATACCTTTTTTCCCGACAGAGTTTGTTTAAAATTTCAAAAAACTTTAGAAAAAAAAATTACCAACAGTTTATTGTTTGACTTTTTGAATAATCTTCTTTTACTACCATTTTTTTTGTAAAATTTTGTGCGAAACCCCTTTTCAAAAATCCGGGGAAACTATGTAACCGGAACTTAAACTCTTCAATTATTCTCTTAGTTCAAAAAATTCTAGAAAGTTACAAATTTCTGATTGATCGTTTCACATTCCCTTTGCCGATTTTCAACACATTTCTTTTCATTTATTCATCCCCGGATTCCCAGTGTTCCGCTATCTTTTTCTCAAATGATTTTGGCCCAATTTTTTTTTCAGTTTGTTGTCCTTGATTTCGTCCTCACGACCCCAGTATTTTTTCCCAATTGTTCTCCAAAAAATGTTTTGTATTTACACATTTTTTGTTTCTTCCGTGTGTTAATTCTTCTCTGAATTGTAAAATGAAGCATATTGTTTTCAGTTTATGCTTAGCAAACATATACCCGTCAGATGAAAAATAGATTTGAAAATAGTATCCAATGGTCATCGGTGGGGTTAAAAAGAAGTGAATACAACTACATGTGCGGCAGCTTTTTCAGCTGTTTAAAAGTTGTTATTTTCCAAATCTCTAAATTGAATCATATTTTCCAATATCGAGATCAGCAAAGTCTTAGAGATCGGAAAGATTAATTAAGATCTATTTTTTCGGAATGTCAGAATTCAGGAAAAAACTTAAATGAAAATATTTTTGGAATGTTTGAAATGAAACTTTCAGAATCGTAAACCGATATTCAAAAAAAGGGACAAAGTTATGGAAAAAGCGGTTTTCTCCTCATAATTTGAAAGTTAAGTTTTTTTTTGTTTTGAAATTTTGATTTTACATCGCGAAAACTTCAAAAAATTAGTACCAAAAAAATCCAATCGAAATTTCATTTCTATTGAAAAGATACTTCCAATCTCTGAATTAAATTCTGGTTTATACTTTTGTTACAAATTTTAATCACATGAAGCTGTTTCGTTCGAAAACCTTTTAATATTTTGAGCTCAAGTTCACAATTGTTACGAGCTAACATTTAAAAGACCCAGTTGTGGAAAATAATTCCGGAACAATTTTTCTCAGTGCCAGAGTTGCTCCTGGAAGCATTCTGAGTGTTGGAAAAATGGATAAATATTGAACAAAATTTTTTTTTTGTAAAAACTTTAGAACCCGTTCTGGTCACATTCATAAGACATTCCGAAGTGCAGTCTACATTAATCACTGAAATTGCATAGAAAAAAAACCAATACCATCAAACATCTATAAAAAGATTGGTAAGTCAAACTCCTATCAGTCTGTGCTGTGTCATTGATCAGTTTCAAAACCATCCTGTATTTCAAAACACATCGCCATCATTCATTCAGCTCTCAGGTGCTGTTTTTCAAAAATGACTCAAAAGAGCAAACACAGTCTGTGTTTTTTATTCAGCTTCTTTTTAGAATGATCTTTCGAACAGCAATGTGACTAATACAAACAACAATACGTCAGTCAGTCTATTTTACAACTTATCAGTGACAAAATGGAGGCGGACGCACTTAATTTCGTTTTTTATCTTCTGTGATGACGCAATTTTTGCATTCGCTCGTTTAAATACCCCTTGGATTGTCATTTCTTCCATCAGTTTTTTTATTTTGAGTTCTCAACCGTTCTTTATTTTGTGTTCTATTTTTTTTCCTCACCTCGAATTCCTGTTCCAAGTTTTAAAAACTTTTTTCTAGAAAAAATGTCATATTACGGAAACGGAGGATACTCTCCATACGGTCAACCAGGTTACGGTGCCCCACCACCGCCAATTTACGGTGCTCCTGGATATATTCCACCAACGGTTATTCATACTAATGGACATCATCACCATGGCCACCACCACCACCATCATGGATTCCTCCATGAGTTGGGACATGCCCTGACTGGTCATCATCATCATCACCACGGGCACCACCACGGACATCATCATCATCATCATCATGGACACTGTTAAATTGTCATGTTCTGATATTTTGTAAATTTGTTGAGCTTACATGATTGTCAATTTTCAATAAATCCTACTAATGTTTGTGAAAGAATACTTATGTTCAGATTTTGAAACATAGATTCTGATTTGAAAAGAAAAAATAAAAGAAATCAGTTTTCACTGTTGAGCACTATTTTAACATGAGATGTTGGTCGTTGACCTGAAAACATGGTTTTGGGATATCTGCCTTATCATGATTTTTGTCACATGCATTTCAGGATTCTTTTGTTAATTCTTTCATCGATTCAACTGTAACTAAGTGGTACTCTCTATTTAAACTTTTAGTTTCACACATTGTTATTTTTTACTCTGGAAAATTTTCGTAAAAACTTTGAGGTACTGTGGCAGTTCCAGGAACCCTTTGAAAAACATAGCTGTTGTTTTTACTTATTTACAGTAATCAGTGTTTTTGTAAAACCTATAAAAGAAAGGCCACATTGTAAACCCTGTAATAGAAGGGCCCCAGCGAGCTCAATTATCTCCGTTCCCATGCAAGGTATGAAAATATGTTAACTGATGAAACGATGCTGATATTATGATAAACAATTCATTAGTTGACCTTTTTTTATATCTTTTATAGGAACCAAAAAAATTAGCTCTTCTGTTACAGGTTTCAATGAAGTTTGATGTGCAGGTATAGGGATCAAAATCCTTTAAAACTTTGGCTTACAATTGTCAAGTACTTATTCAAAAATCTAAATTTTTTATTTCCACCAAAATGACTATAGGGGACTTTCTGTTAGTATTGTATACATATTATACAAGGAAGCTAAAAATAAGGGGGTATATTCAATATGCGATATTCGAGTTCACAAATGTATTGCTCACTTTTTGAAAATTTCAAACCGGAACTACAGTTTAGGCGACGTAAAACTGTTTATCCAATTTATCTAAGAAAAAAAACTATAAAACTTTTAGTACGAAAAAAAATCCCATTTTCTGTTTGCCTTAAAACCAAAATTTTCCTTTTGATCCATTTTATTGCTCTGTTTGTGAGGTTTGGACTTGAACTATTGGGAAAAGCTTACAAAACATAAAACCAGACACTGATAAGGAGTGTCAACCAGCCGGAATAGCAATAAACGAAACTCTAAAATAAACCATAATCTTTAGCACACACATGACATTTGGAATGTCATGTTTTTTATTCATTTTTTCATTCGTTGTGACATTAACAAAGAAAAATGACAATTTTCAAAATTTCAAGATTTTTCAATACTATTAAACATCTATTTAGGATAACGTGTTTTATTGTCAAATTTTGGCTGTTAAAATTCTTCAGAATAGGAAATTGTTCTCTGTTTGAAAATAGGTTTTTGAATAAAAGAGAATTTACTATAACAAAGTTTTCTTCCATAATATCAGACTAAAGGAAATACTGGAAACTTATGTTTTCTCCTGAATAGACCTGGAAAATCTGGAAGTCCGTTTTTCTTAACTGCTGTGTTAATCATAAAAACAATGAAATAAACGAGAGTGACAATTTATTCAGTAGTAGGCTTGGAGTGAGATAAAATGACAGCAGTTATTTTCAGGAGATGTACAAAGTATAGATGTACAGAGTATAATTACATTCAGTGGTGTCCATGATGATGTCCATGATGGTGGCTCTCGTGATGGCTCTCGTAGTGATGTTCTCCATGATGTCCTCCATGATGATGGCTGTCATGGTGTCCGTGATGGTGAACATCGTGGTGTCCTCCGTGGTGTCCTCCATCGGTGTGGACGTGGACAGTTGGTGGTGGCATGTATCCTGGTGCTCCGTGAACTGGTGGTGGGGCTCCATAGCCTGGATGTCCGGCTCCGTATGGGGCTCCTCCGTATCCTCCGTTTCCGTAGTACGACATTTTTTCTGTAATTTGAGAAACTAGTTCGTATTATTATAACTGTCAAATGAAGGAAAAAGATTGAAAAGAAACATAAAAATCAACACTGAAAAATATATAAAACTCATCCAGATGGAAACACCGAGGAACTGATGTCTAAAGAAGGAATGACCCAAGTATTTAAAGAAAACTGCTTGAATGAAAAAAAAACGTCATGTGAAAGATAAAATTGAAATTATCAATGCAATGGTGGCATTTGGCCCTCCCCACACATTTGACGCCCGATAAGTTTGCGAAAAAATGACAGGTATTGTTATTTGCGTTAGTCATCTTCGAAACTTCCTCCGCGACAATAGGGGCCAAAGCAAACCAAGGAGCGGAACGAGAAACCGATCTGTCTGACTCATAGGTCAAGAAGGGAATGATCTAGAAAAAGTAGCTCCACCCTCGTGATGTTGGAGTGTTTTGAAATTGATCAGTGGGCAGACCAAAGGCTGACTAAACAAAAATATTTTTGCTAAATTGGTTTTCATGATCTCAAAGTTTGATGTCTATAGTACCAATAAATACGATATACAAAAACGTGTTTTCAATTGATTTTCGGCCAATTTGACTAATTTCAACAGTCTGGAGCTCGGCTGTCAAGTGTCCGATCACTATTTAGAATTTCTAGGTTATAAAACAGACCTAGATTGAGAACTTTACACTCACAAAATTTTTTTGAAAACTCCTAGTTTTTCAGATATTAGCCGATTTCTGAAGACATCCAAAATTTTCTGTTTTTGTACTGAAAAAAACAGGTGCCATTTAGAAATCGGCCAATAGCTAAAAAATTAGAAATTTTAAGCAAATTCTATACTGCAAAGTTTTCAATCTAAGCCTACGCTTTTGAAAATTTTTTTACGCTTTTGAAAATTTTCAAAGTGTTCGGACAATGCCGAGCTCCAGACTCCTGAAAATGGTCAAAATCAATTGAAAAACACGTGGTTGGTTAATCTTGTGACCTGTGTTAGGTTTGGATGAAAAACCGTCTGTCTGAAAATAATTCAAAATTAATTGAAATTCCATTGGTTTCTTACTTTTTCAGAGAGCAGAAACTATGACAATATTTGCATAATGCAGATTTCTAGAAAATATTAAAACAAACGTTTAAATCAAAATTTCAGCTTTCAAAGAGGCACTTTAAATCCGTCTCATAGAATATAATTTTTATTGAAAAGAAATGTAGGACATGTTTGTCTTTTTTATGTGAGTCATTTTTGAAAAATATCAGCTTTCATACAGCTCAATGTCTAAAATTTTCTATTATATATCTTAACTTTCCGATTAATTTTTGTTTTAATTCTTGTTATTTCAGAACTTTCAATTTTCAGTTTATAAATCACCGATGTTTGCTATGAACTATTTTCCTGGTATAAGCGGCTATAGGTCTGAAAAGCTTGAAAAACATTTCGGCTCTTAAGAAAGATATCAAAAAGTGCTTTGAAAAAAAAATTGAAAAATTCTGTGACCTGTTTCATTTTCTGTGCATTAGAGTTAAAAGTGAGGGGTCCTTTTTTCAAATTCAGTACCTTGACAACTGAGCATTCCAAGAAAACAAATCTTTGAAACATTAAACAATCATTACCAGAAGACACTTGTCAAAAACTATAATTTTCAAAATATGGATGTTGCCTTTATCGTCTTTTCTAATGTTTCAAATTTAGGAAAACAAGTGTACATTATTCATTAAGTAACGGGTTTAAAATATAAAGATTTTACAAATTTACATCAAATGTACAGTAGACGTTAGACAGTAGACGTGGAGAAAAAGTTTTCAAATCTTCAAATGTTCAATGCGTAAGAGTCTTTACCCATCCCAGGCCGATGATATAGACATACTGATAAGTTTTGGAGTTTTGGGATGGGCTTTTTGTAGTAGTTGCGCGCATGCCAATAATACTTCACAGAGTTTCCGAAGAAATCAAGAAAGTAATCATGAATAGATTTGAGGAGAGATTCAGTTTCATTCCAATGATAAAATGCAACAGGATAATATTTGTCGAATTCGTAGATAATTCTGAAATAATGATATTGTCATGATTCAATGCTCATCATGACCAACCTGAAATCAAACCATTTTCCAGACACATTTAATTGGAAATAATCATTTTCGGTATCATCGTGCTCGGCGATTTGCAGCATATGGTCATGAAAATGATGGAAGAGAATACAAACAAAAGTTCGTCCGTCACGATGATCATATCTGATAGTATTGACACTTTAGAATCGTTGCATTTGGGCCGATGATTTAATCAGGCTCTTCGTATTTTGGAGACAAAAGAAAGCATAAACATATCCGAAAATTTCATGATGTTAAGTATCTCATTTTGGACCAAATATGGATATTTGAATAGTTGCATTTTCTGATACTGCGGAAAATAACGTACAGATTTTAGAGAATCAAATGAGCGAGAAAGAAAAAAAGAATTGAGAATATTAAAGCAATGGGACTCCTTATGACGTGGCAAACGACAAAGAAAGACACTTGTGACGAGAGGGTCGTCATTGAGAAATCGATTTTGCACCCGATTGTGACCTAGACTGGTTAACACGCCCTCTAATCGGACCCACAGAAACCGCCCCTGTTCAGCACGTTCTCCACCATAAGAACACAACTCGAGGGAAGGGCAGAAGACGTGGATCGTTTGTCTACCCTCTCTTCTATGTTCTTCGATGACAGGTGGATTAGTACTATAGCACTTTTTATGACCATTATTATAGCTGTCTGTAGAAATTTTTTCCCATTTTATCAATCTTCATTCTTTTCCTAAAATCACAATTCGACATGTAAAAAACATGTACTGGAATTTATTCAAAGTGAAAAAAGCGGATAAAGCAATAAACAAAATTGAAAAATGAGCTGCCATGACAATAAATAACATACGAGATGATGTAAAATGAATTAAAATTCCCACAATTTTGTTGTTTCGAGACTCCGCAACTATTCCACAATTCGCAAAAATTCTTCCTCTGTTTTATCCCAAACTCCAAAATTGAACTTTCTCCTTTGAACCAAAACAGATGCAACACGATTATCTGATTCTCTTACCACATATGTGTGGCTGGTGATTGGATTCGTGTTCGGACGATTTTGGCACCAATCGCATCTGAAAAACAACAGTTGATAAAGCGATCTCAAGAATATGCTGCCGTGAATACTGTAACAGAATCCCCTTTGATGTGTTTAACAGGAATTGAGATAAATTTGCTCAACGTTTAAAATTAGGAAGGGGTCATTCTATTTGAGTGTTTAGGTTATACAAAATGGCTTACATTCTGGGCAAAGTGTGTGTCGGCGGTGTTTTTCTTGCATCAATGTATTTTGCTCCAATTCCATTTAGAACAATGTCTTGATCGATATCATCCTCGGAAACGTTAAAGTTCAATACTTCCAGCTTTTGAAATGCTTCTCCCGATTTCCATCTTTTCACAAGCTCGATCAAATCTTCAGTATTGTGATAAGTGCAATCCACGAATGCTTGTTTTCCTTGAAAGTGACGTAAAACAGAAGGAAAAGTGTTATGGTGTTGAACTGTCACCACAGACTCTGCCTGATAGAAATTGGAATCCGGACTGAAATCTGTTGGTCTAAATACGTTAAATTCAATCTTTTTGAAAGGTGGAGATGTTGAAAAAAAGTTTTCAAGGTCTATCGAATCCGGATTAACATGCCACACTCGGATACATGAACTTATGTTTTGGAGTTGTGGGATAGGATTCATGCAATCGCTTGTTAGCCATAAATATTCCATAGAATCGCCAAAGAAATGAACCATATAATTGTGAATGGATTTGATGACGGATTCACTTTCATCCGGATTAAATGCTGCTTCAAGGAAGTGGTGTCTTCTGGATTTTTTGAAAAAGTAATTTTATGATCTCTTGATTATCATAACTCACCGAAAATCAATAATTTTTCCAAATACTTTCAACTGAAAATAGTATTTTTCAGTGTTCTCATGTTCCTTGATGTCTACGAAATCCTCTCTCAATTGATTCTTGGTTACAATATCAACAACCGGTGTTTCATTCATGCCGCAATATCTGATACAACTGATATTTCTGAATCTAGTGTTTTGAGATGATTTGATGAGTTTCTTCATCTTATTAGACACAAACGAAAATAGAAAGAGATCCCGATATTCCATGTTGTCGAATATCTCTTTTTGAAGCAAATAGGGAAATTTGGATAGCTTCATATTTTTTGTAATCCTGGAAATATAAAACATATTGCAGAGCATAAAGAGTCTTGGGAAAAGAAGTGAAACCAACAGGAGAGTATCTAAAAAACGAACAATGATCAAAAAATGGAAAGGAAGAAGGGACGACTTATAACATTGCAAATGGCCCAATAGATACAGAAAAGGCAGAAAGGCAAATAGTGAGCGCAGATTGTGACCTAGACTGGTTAACACGCCCTCTCCTCGGACCCACAGAAACCACCCCTGTTCAGCACGTATAGTACTAATCCACCTGTCATCGAAGAAGAGAGAAGAGAGGGTAGACAAACGATCCACGTCTTCTGCCCTTCCCTCGAGTTGTGTTCTTATGGTGGATATAGCACTTTTTATCACCATTGTTATAGCTGCCTGTAGAAATTATTTTCCCATCTTCTTCATTCTTTTCCTGAAATCACAATTTGACATGCAAAAAAACATGTACTGGAACTTATTCAAAGTGAAAAAAAGCGGATAAAGCAATAAACAAAAGCGAAAAATGAGCTGCCATGACAATAAATAACATACGAGATGATGTAAAATGCTTTAAAATTCCCACAAATTTGTTGACTCGAGACAACAAAGAAAGACACTTGTGACGAGAGGGTCGTCATTGAGAAATCGATTTTGCACCCGATTGTGACCTAGACTGGTTAACACGCCCTCTAATCGGACCCACAGAAACCACCCCTGTTCAGCACGTTCTCCACCATAAGAACACAACTCGAGGGAAGGGCAGAAGACGTAGATCGTTTTTCTACCCTCCCTTCTCTGTCCTTCGATGCCAGGTAGATTAGTGCTATAGCACTACAGTGCGCGTCATAAGTATAGCGTCCCTCTCAGAAAATGGGTTTCCAGACTTCCTGTATCCGATAGGAAAAATTTGTTTATATCATCTGGACAAGCGGCTAAAAGAACCTAACTGTGGAAATTGTTGTTTCCATCGGTTGCGCTTGGTCTGATCTATGACCGAAACGTCGGATATGCACCGCGTCAAAAGTATAGCGTGTTTTGAGGTTTTGGCCTTGTAATCACCATATCTCGTTATTAAAACTGGTTTTTGTGCTGAATATCTAATTTTCGGCACGTTTTCATAATTTTGTGGGAATATGAAGCGTTTGATTTAGGTGGATCATGAATAAACCGGCGGTTCAATCATCGAAGCTTCCACAGCCGCACAGATGTCTAAAATTCGTGATTCCAAACAGACATTCAAGACTTCAGGAAGACTCTGCTAGATTCCTTCAAGTTTTCCAAGTCGATAAAATCTAGAACAGCTTCGCTGTTTGAGCGTTCTTTGTTCGGGATTACCTTCATACAAAAATCCAAAACAATCTCTGGTATTCTGTGAATGTGATGTTCTAAGAAACGCTAGAGAGTACTTATGAAGTCGTTTTGACTATTTCTCGATTAGAAACTGAGAAGAATCACGCTTTTGAATTTTCAAAACAGATGCATTCTACTTGCTGATCTTTCGCTGATCTGTCACAAACTAATCAGCCCAACGGGTGATGTTATCGTGATTTTATGGACTTGGTAAACTTGAGGGGATTTAGAAGGGTGTTCCTGAAGTCTTGAATGCCATAGAAAAATTTTTGGTGGGGTCGGAAGCTGATGGATCTGAAGGTTGCCGAGGTGGAGTTCGAAACAACACCTCGAAACAGACATTGCGGATATAAGAGTCAAGTCGAAAGTATTTTTATAATAATAAACATGATGAAAAATGTTATTTAGGGAGCTTTACAGTTTGGAATCACTAATTTTAGACATCTGGGCGGCTGTGGAAGCTTCGATGATTGAACCGCCGGTTTATCCATGATTCACCTAAGTCAGGCGCTTCATATTCCCACAAAATTATGAAAACGTGCCGAAAATTAGATATTCAGCACAAAAACCAGTTTTAATAACTAGATATGATGATTACAGGGCCAAATCCCCAAAACACGCTATACTTTTGACGCGGTGCATATCCGATGTTTCGGCCATAGATCAGACCCAGCGCAACCGATGGAAACAAAAATTTCCACAATTAGGTTCTTTTAGACGCTTGTTCAGATGATATAAACAAATTTTTCCTTTCGGATACAGGAAGTCTGGAAACCCATTTTCTGAGAGGGGCGCTATACTTATGACGCGCACTGTATTTATGACCATTCTTATAGCTGTCTGAGGATGTTATTCCTGTCCCACCTACACTACCCAGAGGTGCAAAACAGCGTTGAGCTGAAAAAAAAGTTTATAACTCGCTGGCAAAATCTGCCCGGCCATAGTTCAGATTTCTTTTGCTCTTCTTTTCTTAAGTTTTATTTAATTTCAACAACCACGATTTGACATTGTAATACACAACGAGTACTTGAATTAATTTAAATATTGAAAAAAATAAGTTAAAGGGATATAAAAGACGAGAAATACAATTATCATATGAAACAAAAGAAACAATTTCAGAACTTTTCAATGTGTCAAAAAATCAATATACAAATTTAGGGTAAACACGATACGCTTCAGATAGATTCAAATTTTTAAAAATTAGTTAATTTTGAAAATCTGTCGATACGCAACTATTCCATGATTTCCAAAAATTCTTCCTCTGTTTCATCCCAAACTCCAAAACTGAAAATACTGCTTTGAACCGAAACAGATGCAACTCGATTATCTGTTTCTCTGACGACATACGTATGACTGGTGATTGGAAATGTACGAGGTTCTCTTTCATATGCAATGTCAAAGTACCTGAAAACTGTTTTATCTCCAAGATGAGGAACTATAGTGGTGAGGGCCCACTCGGGAAATAAGGGTTCGCTTGCCAATAACAAGAGTTTTGCGGGGTTTAGGGATTTCACAGTGGTTCGTAAAATTTCAAACTGTTAAAAACCAACAATATTCGAAAAATATGTAAATGTGAAATTCTAGCTATGGTCTGACAAGAGTTACTGAATTTGCAAAGTGTAAAAACATGACTTACACTTTTGGCAAAGTATGTATAGCTGGTTTCTTGGCATGGTCAATATGTTTTCCTCCTATCGCATTCAGAATATCATTTTGAGGAAAATGACCAGAGGAAGTTCTAATTTTAATGAGTTCCAGATTTTCGAATGCCTCTCCCGACTTCCATCTGTTCACTAACTCGATCACATCTTGAAAATCGCATTTCTCGCACCTCAAGATTGCTTGTCTTCCTTGAAAACAACGTAATACAGCACGAAGGATAGGTTCCTTTTGGAAAAGTTCAAGATATTCTGCTTGATAGAACTTGGATTCAGGACTCAACGCTTCTCTTATATTCAAAATGTACATATTAACATATTTCAAGATAGGAGATGATGTGAAAAAGTTTTCGAAGCTTGGCATGTTCAATAATTGCGTGTCTTCGCCAGGCATGCCATATTGATAAGATATACATGCTGAAAAATTCTGGAGTTGTTGAATAGGCGTCTTGCAATCAAACGCATGCCAATAATATTTTACAGAGTTGCCGAAAAAATCAAGAAAATAACCGTGAATTGATGAAATGAGAGATTCACATCCATCTGGTTGACAAATTGCAACAGGATAGTATTTTTTGTCTTCGTAGATAATTCTGAAATAATGATATTTTCATGATTCATTGCTCATCGTGGCTTACCTGAAATCAATCATCTTTCCAGACACATTCAACTGGAAACAATCGTTTTTAATCTCATCGCCCTCGGAAATTTTCAGTATTTTGTGATGACGGTAACGATAGGGAATGCAAACAATCGTTCGTCCGTTTCGATGATCATATCTAATAGTATTGACACTTTCGAAACGTTTCATTTGCGGCGATGATTTAATCAGTTTCTTCATCTTTTCGGAGACGAAAGAAAACATAAATAGATCCGAAAATTCCATGTTGTTAAGTATTCCATTTTGCACTAATTGTTGGTATTTTGAAAGTTGCATTTTTGTAGTTCTGAAAATAAAACGAAAATTATCGAGAAACGAGAATGTTCGAGGGTGAAAACGTAAAAAGAGGAGAAAGAAAGAGTAATAAAGAGATGGAACACCTTCTGGCGTGGCGAAGGAAAACACATGGGAGGGGAGGGTCATCTTCGAGAAATCGATAGTGCACCCCTGCATCAGGTGCGCAGATAACTCCGTCCTAATTTTTCTTATTGGCTCTCGGACCTTCCTCACTATCGGAGACGTACTAATTGTGTGTGTATGATCAGCCAGCTCATCGTTGCAAGACATCTAGAAAGACTACGAAGTAGTAATTGTTATCTAGACGATTTCGTGTGGCAGAATGGTTCCAGGGAAAATAAAAATCGATGCATCTTCAAGACATGCATTGTGTTAATCTGACTCTCATCTACTCAACCCGAACCCCGACACAGCCAGGGGTGAATTGAGCAGAACCAGGGCTGCGCGAAAACAAAAAGAAAAGACAGGTCGGGTGTAGCCTGCCAAATCTGGCCAACCATAGTGTTGAATTATGATCCATGTTTTCTGACATTGGATTAAAAAAATACAGCGCTAGAATTTATTTAAAAGAAATGGAGCAAAGTAAAATAAAACACACTTACAATGTTATCATCAGTAAAAAAAGTGTCCAATTTCTAGATTGTTTTGAATAACAAAAACAAAAATACAATACGGTAAGATGATATAAGTTTTTCAGAATTTTGCTGATTTGAGATTTTACTTGAATTTATTTTAAGTTAGGAAAACAGCAGATAAAGCAACAGGAAAGACGGGGACAAAAGTTATCATATGAAACAAAAAATGGAATGCGATATGGTAGGATAAAGGAAATCTTTCACAATTCCGATGATTCAAGATCCCGCAATTATTCCATGATTCTCAAAAATTCTTCCTCTGTTTTATCCCAAACTCCAAAATTGAATGTTCTGCCTTGAACCAAAACAGATGCTACACGATTATCTGTATCTCTGACGACATATGTATAACTGGTGATTGGATCCGTATTAGGTTGTTCATCAAATGCAATGTCGCGGTACCTGAAATTTTTTTTGTTTACCCCAGTAGAGAAACTACAGTGGCAAGGGTGCACTCGGGAAAATAGGGTTAGCTTGTCATGAATAGTAATGTTGTGAATTTTTAAATTCTACGGATTCACGGCGGTCCGAATATTTTCAAACTGCGAGGAACCAGTAAGATCCGATAAGTCCGTGAACGTCAAGGCCTAGTCATGGTTTGATAAGAATCACAGTGTTTCCAAAAATGTAGGATAATGACTTACACTTTCGGTAAAACGTGTGTTGGTGGTTCCTTGGCACTATCAATATGTTTTGCTCCTATCGCTTGCAGAATTTCATTTTGAGAGAAGTCTCCAAAATTTTTAATTCTGATGAGTTCCAGCTTATCGAATGCCTCTCCTGATTTCCATTTGTTCACAAACTCAATCACATCTTGAGTATCGCACTCCCACCATTTCAAAAATGCTTGTCTTCCTTGGAAATAACGGAAAATAGCTGGAAGAGTGGGTTCGAATTGTAACATCGCAATATGTTCTGCCTGGTAGAATTAGGATTCCGGACTCATTGGAGCTGTTACATTCAAAATGTTGATATCAATAAATTTTAAAGTAGGACATAAGGAAATAGAGTTTTAAATCTTTGCATGTCCAACCATTGTTCTGAAGGCATGTCAATACACGCCGATAAGTTCTGAAGTTGTGGAATGGGCTTCGTGTAGTCGTGCGCATACCAATAATACTCCACAGAGTTGCCGATTAAAATTTGAAAATAGTCATGAACAGAACTGAGGACAGATTCACATTCATCCGGTTGATAAGATGCAACAGGACAGTAATCGTTGTCTTCGTAGATAATTCTGAAAAATTGATATGTTCATGATTCCTTGTTAATCATGACCCACCTGAAATCAATCATCTTTCCAGACATATTTAATTGGAAATAATCATTTTCGGTATCATCGTGCTCGGCGATTTGCAGCATATGTTCATGAAAATGATGGAAGGGAATACAAACAAAAGTTCGTCCGTTACGATGATCATATCTAATGATATTGACATTTTTGAATCGTTGCATTTGAGACGACGATTCAATTAGCTTCTTTATCTTTTTAGAGACGAAAGAAAAAATAAATAGATCCGAGAATTCCGTGTTGTTGAGTATCTCATTTTGGACCAAATATGGATATTTGAACAATCGCATTTTTTGTAGTTCTGAGAATAAAAACAATTTATCGGGAAACAATAATGATTGTAAATGGGAAAGAGAAAAAGAGAAATGAGGAGAAAGAAGAGCAAGAAAGGAATGGGGCTCCTTATGACGTGGCAAACGACAAAGAAAGACACTTGTGACGAGAGGGTCGTCATCGAGGAATTGATTCTGCACCCGATTGTGACCTAGACTGGTTAACACGGCTTTTCCTCGGGCCCACAGAAACCATCCCTGTATCTCCACCACACGAACCGACTTGAGAGAAGTGCAGAAGAAATAGATCGTTTGTCTACCCTCCCTTCTCTGTCCTTCCATAACAGGTAGATTAGTGTTATAGCACTTTTTACAATCCTTCTAATAGTTGCCTCAAGAGGTTATTTTCCTGTCTCACCTACACAACCCAGAGGTGCAAAACAGTGTTGCGCTAAAAACATACCAATCGGATGTCGCTGGCAAATCCTGACCGACTATAGTTTTGAACTCTTGTACGATGAGTTCCTCTTTTTTTAGGTTTTATTTATTTTCAGAAACCATGATTTGACATTGGAATACACAATCGATTGTGCACCCTGCAGCACGTTTGAAGAGTACCCCTCCTCGATAACCCCGCATTCTGTAGCAGCGTCACAAAAAGATTGAGAAGACGTGAAGAGAGGCCAATTGTGAGTGTATGATCAACCAACTCATCAACTCAGATCATCTGCAAAGACTACGAGGTTATAATTGTTCTATGAACGATCTCGTGTTGCAGAATGGTTTCAGGGAAAATAGAAACCGATGCATCTTCAAGACATGCATTGTGTTAATCTGTCACGTCATATGGTGCATACCAGTCTTTAAAAAAAAGAGTTAAATTATCATGAGCAGTCTCCTGTTCATGAATAATAAAAAAAAAAGTTAACTCAAGTCAGCTTCAACTTTGAGCGCAATAAAGAATTCACGCAATATGTCTCATTGGATCTACAAAATCCTAATGAAGCCAATCCCTGATTTATTATCAGAACAACACAACATTTTCAAAGCTGACTTAATTCGAAAAGATGACCTAAGCAAACAAGCAAACGACGCGTCAGGACCTTCACATTCATCACAAAAAAATCGAGAAAATAAAATGCAGGTTTCATGTCAGTCAACCTAGACAAAAAAATATTTTAAAAAATCAAACGAATTTAGTCAAAAAAAAAAACTAGTGGGTTTAAACACGTGGGCTGTGAAAATATGCATTTATCGTCTTGTCTACTGTTTCAAACAAAAAAACGAATGTATTATTCATTAAGCAGATGATTAAAAACATGAAAATTTTACAAATGTACACCGAATGCCCAGTAGAAGTTATAAAGATTAATGGTGTCCTCCGTGGTGTCCACCATGATGAGAAGTCTGATGATGGCTCTCGTAGACATGACCACTATTGTGTCCTTCATGGTGGCTTGTCTCATGATGAACTTGTTGATGAGTATCAATGTGTCCTCCATGGTGTCCTCCATAAGTCTCAACATGACCATGTGGCATGTATCCTGGAACTCCGTGAACAGGTGGTGGAGCTCCGTATCCACCATGTCCTCCGTAGCCTCCATATGGAGCATATCCTCCGTGTCCGTGATGCGACATTTTTCTGAAATATACGATTTCAATGAAAACAAAAAGATACATAACGCGGAAAGAACAAATAAGCGTAGCAATCCTATGTAAAAAAAGAATTTAAGTCAAAAGCAAGTACGAGAAAAGAGAACTCAGCTGGTATTTAAAGAAAACTGTGTGCGTAGAGAGTCATGTGAAAAATAGGCGATAGTGATAAAATAGTTCACGGTCAATAAGCCGTCGAGAAATGACGAGAGTTTTATTTGTCTTAGTCATTTTCCTTCCTTTCAAGAAACATACAAGGTGTGAAACGCTGACTCAAAACGAATCTTTGGCTCTAGTCGGTTATTTTGTTTCTTAAAGAAAATATTGGTCCTCATAGATAATATGTGTCTTTAGATATACTTTCAGTTCTCAACTGTCAATATGTTTCTACTTTTCATTTTCATACTTTCTTCTAAGTTTTATTGTTTTAGCGCAAAGTGAGTTCTTATACAAAACGTGAAATAATAGTATTAAACATTAGGGACCAAATCTATCGTTGAGGACGAAAACTATTTTTAAGGATCATAATTATGTATAAAGACCAAAATACCCAGAGATTTTCGAAAAATTCTGTAAATGCAAAGTTTTCAATCTAGGTCTGTACTTTCAAAGTGATCAGACAACTGACAGCCGAGCTCCCGACTCCTGAAAATGATCAAAATCAACTGAAAACATGTATTTTTTCATATATTTATTTTCATCACTGTATGACAAAATTGGAACATCAATTTTTATTAAATCCATTAATTTTTCCCGTTTTCATGCGGCCAAAAAATGGCCTAAGCTTCATAATTTCTGTTGTTTCGAAATCAATTTTCGTTATTCTTTGTTTTCCGATTTTCTTGAAGAATTGAAAAAAGTAGTTTCCAGTTTTTAGAATTCAGATTTCTAAGACCCAACCACAATAAAATAAGCTAAATATGCGTTTCAAAATTTTACTGTACACCAAATTAGTAGGAAAATTGTAGGCAGAAAAATTATACAAGAATTAGTAGGACAAGTTACTGAAAGGTTACAGAAAAATAAGTGTACATTTAATGATGTCCATGAGCATCGTGATCATGAGCATGTCCGTCGCCGTGCTCATGAGCATGTCCGTCATGTTGAGTGTGGGCGCAGTGCTCTCCAGCTTGATGATTTCCACCGTGTTGAGTGTCGCAATGGTCTCCTGCATGGTGAACGTGTTGTCCATGGGCATCGTGTTGGGTGTCGTGGTGATGTCCATCATGCTTGTCTTGATGTTCGTGATGGTCCTGATGACAGTGGTCAGCAGATCCGTGGTCGTGTCCTTGATGCGACATGTTGGTTCTGAAACTATTCAAGATTAATAAGGAGGAAATAGGAAACTTTTGAAAAATGGAAGAAGAAATGATATGATGAATAGATGTGCGGGCAGGTCTATTTAAAGGAAACCACAGTGGTTGAAGAAAACATCACGAGTGCAGATAAAAGGTTGAGTTGGCATTCTAACGACCACAGATAAGGGCAAACGTGGGTGGGGGCAAGAAAAAACGAAAAATTCGAGTTTGTAGTTTTTCGCGTTTTTGGTATTGACATTAGTCAGTTGAACTCATGCGAAACACATCTGCATCCAAAAAAACTGACTCAACTGTTGGCTTTGGTGCGTGGACAATGAAATGTGGATCGAATAAAGAAAATTCCTTTTGTTGGATCCAGTTGAAAAGATTCAATAACATTGCGTGAAGTGTTTGTGACAATAAACATTTGACATTGAACTCAAATATTGCTGGATTCGGACAACTGTTGCCAAATTTATGTTTTCAGATTTCCTACGGACAAATTCCTGAGGGACCAATGTTTATTTGCTCATTGGACTTTCTTTAATGTCACTTCAAATTTTGCCAATAACGGATCCGTTTCTTTTCAAAGACTACACTTTACTATAGTTCTTCCGACTCAAACATTATTTTTGAATGATGTTGACACTGACACGTATGCTCAAACGTTTTTTCCCCCACTTTTACTTTTTAATGGCATTGATAAGCTGTGATCTCACACGACTGAAGTTCACTGGCAAGCACTACTAAAAAAACTGTGAAGAAGCATTATAAGGAAAATCAGGTGGCGGGTGTTATTAACTTTTCATGAGTTTTTGAATAAAACAAAGAAAGAATCAAAGCTTCATTTTTAATTTGGTAATAAAAATTTTTAAGTCACGTTAACATCACATTTCAATTGATAAGTAGGCATTTCTAGATTCCATTTAGTGGCGGTGGTCATGATGGTGATGGTGATGGTGGTGATGATGTTCTTTCTTCCCATGTTTCCCATGCTTTCCATGATCATCATGATGATCATCATGAACTGCAACTCCTCCCGGCACAAATCCAGGTCCCGGCGCTCCATGTGGTGGTGGAGGAGCATATCCAGCATTTCCAAATCCAGATCCAACAGTTGGTCCAGCGAATCCAGCACCACCATAAGGTCCAGATGGTTGTCCCTGTCCCCCATTTCCGTATTGAGCCTGTGGACCAGAATATCCTCCGTTTCCATAATGCAACGTTGGGATTCCGTCTTGGTGCGGTTGTCCGGAATTATTTCCATATGGTCCGTTTGGTCCGTTGTATCCAGCATTTCCATATGGTCCATTGGGTGGGGGTCCGCTGTAGCCGGCGTTTCCGTAGTTATTAGCCATGGTTCTGGGAGAATTGATAATGAAGATAAGAACTAATTTATTCTAACGCGAAGTCGAGAAAAACAAAACACATCTAAATTTCAAAAAACAAAATGTTTAACAATCATTTTTTATCAGAACATGCAGTAAATGCTATAATAAAAGCTTACCCTGTGTACTTTGAGTTCGATTATCTCGGTCGCTATACGAGCTATCCAAAATTTGTGTGAGAATTTGCTTAAGATTAAGAGAATTAAGAGAATTTGCTGTGAATATTAGACCAAAATAGTGATAAAAATATATAAAGTTTCAAGCAATAAATTCGAAGACAGCTGGATTGGTTATGTTGGATTTTTTTAAATGTAGGGAAATTTTTGCATTTTTTGGAAATTTTTGCATTTTTAAGAAACTTTTGGATTTTCAAAAAAATATTGGATTTTCAGAAATTTTTGGGTTTTGCTACACGTGTAATTTGATCCTAATTATCTCGGTTCTTATAAGAGAAAGTTTGTCAACTAATAAAATATTGGTGATATTATGATAAATAATTTATCAGTAAAACATTTTTTGATATCACTTGAAAGAACAGAGATAATTGAGCTTAAAATGATAGACAAAAACATTAGAGAAAAATAGTCATAAAGATTGAAAAATATAAAATTCCAAACAATAAATTTGAGAATAGTTCAATAACAAAATACGGAATGTGATCTTAGAAAAATTCCGAGCTACTTATAAAGGCCAAAAAATCAAGCCGAAATAGATCAACAGCAGTCATCATCAACAATGCCACCAGAATGACTCACATCAACACGAACCAAAGGATTTCCCGCGTTTCGAACTGTCTGTTCAAATATTTGTTCTTTTCCACGGATTCGCTGAAAAGAGTTTTTTCTAGCGCATCGCTTTCTTTTTACCTATCTGTTTACTTTTCAACTTTTGAAATTTCATTACTTAGAATACCATCATCGCGGAATCTTGGTGAATAAAGCATTTATTTAGGACGTTGATTGAAGATTACACCGGAGAAAAAAGAAAAAAGAAAGCATCTCTAAAATACAAAGTTGAAGAAGGGCACAGGAGACAGATTGGGGGTAATATGAAAGAATTTGCAGTGTGAATTTTTTTGGGGGGTTGAACAATATGAGATGAGGTGTTGGTTGTTTAGGCGGCGACTGGCTCGGCAGCGGCTTCACTGTCTGGGATCACGACCTCCTGTAAAAATGTGTTGGTTTTTTGATAAACAACTGGTTAAACTCACAGCTCCCTCATTTGGATTCTTGGCTGGTCCATCTTCAAAATCCTTGTCTGGAATCTGAAGTGGGATGGCAGCGCATGGAGGTCTGGCGGCATCTCCTTCAGCTTTGACTTGCTCGACGTACTTTGGTGGTTCAAGGTTCTTTCTGAAACGAGGCATTTTTGAAATTCCAATTCTTGGTTATTTTCTAGCACTCACCTGATCTGCTCAAGCTCCTCGTTCTCCTTGCGTCCCCACTCTGCTGGCGGCCGGGCGCTTCCACGGGCAATGGTGTAGGCTGGCTTGACGAAGGGATTTTCAAAGAGGTCGCGACGGTTTCCGTATGATCTTCTGTCGATCTGGCGATCGAACTTCGATGCGGTGGTAATCTTTGGTGGATGGACGGAAGAGGCGGCCTCCTCTGGGTCAAGTCCCTTCTTGAGAGCCTTGTTACGAGCAACTTGACGTTGACGCTCGTTAAGCTCTTTCAACTGGAAAATTGCCAAGATTTTATAAAAAGTTGTTAGGGATTGAACTCACGTCGTACTCTTGACGCTCACGTCTCTTCTCCAAATCGTACTTCTCACCCTCAAGTTTGACGATGCGGGCATGGAGTCCCTTAATTCTGTCCTTCAAGTCGTTTGGCATGAGTCCAGAGACATCTTGAGCTTTGCAGACGGCGTTCAAGAAGGCCTTCTTTGCCTCATCCTGTTGTTCCTTGGAGAGTCCTTCGGACTTGGCTCCCTGAGCGAGGTTTCCAAAGCTGGCAGCTTGTTCTCCCTTTGATGACACGGTGAAGTTCTTTCCTCCTGGTCCTCCAACGGCGGCTCCGGCGAAGGATCCAGCCATCATTTGTTGACGGCGAGACTTCTCCTCGTTTTTGCGAGCCTTCTCGGCATCAGCCTTAGCTTTACGCTCTTCCTCGTCCTTGCGACGTCTCTCCTCGTCTTGACGTCTTCTCTCGGCGAACTGACGTTCGTCTTCTTCACGCTCAGCGCGACGTTTCTCTTGCTTCTCCTTAAGCTCACGGAGTTCCTGTTCCATACGTTCCTTCTCAAGAACACGACGTTGCTCGTAATCGAGAAGCTTGGCGGCCTCTTCCTCCTCGTGACGCTTCTTGGCGGCCTAAAAAGTTTTCAATATTTTTTTTGGCTTTTCGGGTTCCTGGCTGCTGCTCAGTCGGAAAGTTACAGTTACTCACAAGCATGGCGGCTTCAGCCTCAGTCATCTCTGCTGGTGGCTTCTCCTCCTGAACTGGTGGACGTGGTTTTGGCTTCTCCTCAACTGGAGCTTCTTCTTCGGCGGCTTCTGGCTCTTCCTCCTCGGCTGGAGCATCTTCAGCGGCAGCCTCTTCCTCCTCGACCTCTTCGGCCAGGGACTCTTCGACTTCTTCCTCCTCCTCACCGGAACTGTAAAATAAATTTTATGATTAAATATGCTTTAAAAATTAATTCAACTTACAGCACTTCCTCCTCGTCAGACATGGTTATCACTGGAAAATTAAAGGATTAGGTGGAATCAAAAAGTGAAAAAAATTTCAAGAAATACAAGAAAGTCTCCGAAGAAAAAAATTGAAACTAATTTCACAAAATTGAACAAGCTGCATCTTTCAATTGGTCATCAAAATGTGAAAGTGAATGACTAAATGAATGAATGAACTAAAGAGTGAATGTAAGAACAATCGAAGTGTGCGGTTTTCAGTGAGCCATCTTCTGAGCCGCTTCTGCAATCGGGTTCCTGGATTGATGGGCGGGACCGTCGCCGGCGGGTGCCATTCTTCTTCATCTTCTCTCTCATCCTCGTTTTCCCCCACACAGCTCTTCTTCTCATCATTGTGTAACTTGTAACGAAGCGGATCCTCCACGGGAACCAGGCAAAGAGAGAAAGAGATCATTGCGGGGATGCGAAAAAGACGATGGGTCCCGCGAACAAAAAGCAATGGGTAGGCGGAGGTGTGTGTTGTAAACCTTCTGCCGATGAGCATCTCCTCCGAGCGCGCCTCATGAAGAAGCAATCGGATAGGCCGATGGCAAAAAGAGCACAAATTACTGCTTTCGTTTCTGTTTCTTTGAAAGAAGAAACTGAAGAAAAAAAAAGAGAAGAAGCAGAAGACAACAAACAACTCTAGCCGGGCACCCGATTCCTCTTCCTCTAGCCTTCTGAATCTCTATTAGATCCCGCGTCGGCCCGGAATAAATCTTCAGTCACCACATGGTTCAGAGATTGGTGAATCGTGTGATTTTGGGAAGAGAGTAATAACAAAAAAAATGAGAGAGAAAGTTTAAGAACAGCGAGTCGTGTTCCTAGCAAAAGTTGGGTGAAGAAAGCTGAAGGAATTTAGGGAATTACACTAGTTTTTGTTTTTAATGAGATATTTCGAACAGGAAAACGCAACGAAGTCGTACGTATGGGAATAGACATTTTTACACTAGTTCCTAAGAAATAAATTTATCATAGCATTAAAGAAAAATCAATAAATTATACAGTACCAGTCAATGAAATGTGAACAAACATATTTTTCTTTGACAATTTTCAAAAATGGAGCCCGGTTGTGATGTTTCAGTTCCCTTCGAAAATTTTGGAGATTGTAAAACAGAGCTAGCCTGGAAACTTTGAACTCACAGAATTTTTTGAAAATTCTTAATTTTTCAGCTGTATGCCCATTTTTGAAAGACCTATTTTTTAAAATTTTTAGTACAAAATTCTCCGCTGTTTTCAGTATTGACCGTTATTTTATGCCAAATTCAATATTGAGATCCCAGAAAGCGAACTTCCTTTTTTTGGCATCAACAAACTTCTGATAAAATATGACCTAATTTCAATGATTTTGAACTATGATACCTGAAAAAAATTTCTTCTGACAAGTTTCTATCATCATCTTGTCACTTGTTGTGATTCCTGTTTGTGCAGCAAAATTGCAATAAGAGGGATACCATGTATTGTGACATCACAATAAACAAGTTTTGGATTTATTAGGTTGGCGGGAAAGTCTTTGTCACTTTTTCAATAGTTTATTTCTCAAAGAAAAAATAACCGAATAATTAATTATATTGTCCATCATTATCAACAACATGTCTCCAACGTTCCCTCAATTTATGGATTCCATTGCGGTAGAATCCAGCCGGGCGTGAGGCAAAGTATTGTTTGAGTGCCGCTTCGACCGCTCCACGGGAATTGAAGCTTCTTCCTTCGAAGGCACGTGTCATATCGCCAAATAACCAATAGTCGGAAGGAGCAAGATCAGGAGAATACGGGGGGTGAGGGAGAACATTCCATCCATATCCCATCAGCTCCTGCTTCACTTGTTTCGAAACATGTGGGCGAGCGTTATCATGTTGATAGTACACTTTCTTGTCTTTCAGGGCCGAACGGTCGACTGCTTTCTTGAGGTTTCGTAGTTGAGTAGTGTAGAGGTCTCCAGTTATTGTTTTGCCCTCGGGCAGAAGTTCCCAGTAGATGGGGCCGTCCACTCCCCACCACACAGAGAGCATAACTTTTTTCGGATGAAGGTCGGGTTTGGGGACATCCTGTGGGCTCTCTCCTTCTCCAACCCACTGGGATTTCCTGTGGTGATTATCGTAGAAGACCCACTTCTCATCTCCGGTTATTAGCCGGTCCAGCCATCGATCGCCCGCGTGGAGAGTGAGAAGAGTAATCGAATCGTCGACTCGGCGGTCAAGGTTGGCTTGAGTCAGGTGATGAGGTATGAATCGACCAAAAAGTTTTCTCATTCCAAGAGACTTCAAACCTTCAAGGACTGTGCTATGGTGAACTCCGAATGTGACAGCTAGTTCACGGCTAGATTGAAATGGATCCGATTGCAATGCGTGCTTCAGCTTGTCCAAATCCAACTCACGGGGTCTCCCAGAGCGATCCTTTTCATCGAGCGAGAAGTCATCTTTTTCGAAACGATGGAACCAATTGCGAATAGTATTGTAGTGAGGGGCATGTGTGTTGTACACATTCTTCAAGAAAGTTTCCGAATCCTTCATCGTGGTGTGAGATAGGAAGAGGTAAATCAAAACATGTCTGATGTGAATAGCAGTGGGAACAAACATATCGTTTCAATTACAGATGAGGAGCAGGGAAGGAGATGGGGACTTGTTTATATGGAAGGTTCTTATCACCTTGTTATTCACTAAAGTCGATATCATACACAGCCTCCATATACGAGAACAGTGATTAAACAAACAGAGTGACAAAGACTTTCCCGCCAACCTAATATTTCAAAAGAGGGGTCATAAATAGAAAATCTAAATGACTCCATCTGATTTTTTTTCAAAAACCTCCAACGGGGTAATACTCATGATTTATATTACAACTCAAGTATCGAATTACCAAGTTATATTTTCCGAGAAAACAAAGACGCGGTACAAAAGTACTTTTTTATGCTGATCATCATTGATATGGATTTTCGGGGGCAATAAAATTGTATTTTTCCTGACAAAAAAAACCATAAAACCTGTAATTAAAACTTTCTTCAGGTAATTTTGACTGGTTTAATAAGAACGCCTACCACACCGCCAAATTCAAACCAATTTATCTTATTACCTGTAGAAGATATCAAAACGTGGTCAACTGACAAAATGTTCGTCACTATATCAAAAATATTTTGTTATCTTACTACTTTTTGATATATTTCACAGGAACTGAGATAACTTGGCTCAAAGTTAAAAGTTAAAAGTGGCGTTCTTTACTGAAACAGTATTGCTTTTAGCGGGATGAAAATTGTTTTTTTTTTTTCACATTTGACATAAAAAAAATTGACAAATTGGAACGTAAAAGGTATCCTTCTATCTTTTGTTTTCATTTTTACAAAAACACTCTTTTTTGTATGAGGGTCCATGTTCAATGCTATAGCTTTCATCAATTCGGTATTTTCCTTGTTTGTGTTATTTTAGACTTCTTTTTCTTCAACACGTCTTCAGTTTTTTTTGAATGATCACTTCTGGATTTAGAAACATCTCAGGAGCAAAGCATATTTTCTTCACAAACACACAACACATCTATCCCAAAAAACCAACACATCACAACACACTGGCCGGAGGTCTGTGTGTGCATTTTTGCAATCTAACACATCTCTTTGAAACCAACACATCTACTGAAAGATCACTCTTGAACATGAACACATCTCTGTTTGGAAACCAACACATCAAAAGGTTATATGTTGTGCATACTGAAAACCGAATCTGAGCTCTGCAACACATCGAGTTTTTTTGTACATGCAACACATCTCCTAAGCTAAAAACTGATCATACACTGTCAGGCAACACATCTTTTGGAGCATTGTTTGATCTCTGGTATGCATTTGTATGATCATCAGTTGGAACAACACATCTTCAGTTGGATCAACACATCTTTGCGACACACCACCTCTAAATGTTTTTCAAATAGTAGCCATTTTCGTATGATCACTCGTCCATTTTAACACATCTCCCTTTTTGGCACATCTCCTAGGCGAAGTAAGATCATACGCATAAAAGAAATATATCTCTTCCAGAAAACCAATATTTCATGAGTTTATGTGCCTCTAGCAATATATGTTCCATGTTAAACAAAACAAGTTCTTGTAAAATATTTGGCAATTGCTGTGTTTGCTTGAATATAAAATGTCGGGACATATCTTATCAAACCAATACAAAATTGGTAAAAATTTGGCTCTGATATGAAATTCTGGTCCTTAAAAGGTGTTCATGTAAATACATATTTGATACATGATGTGGAATTCTTCGAGCAGTTAACTGAGAAGTTCGTTGAAAGTTCTTTCGAAAAACTTACACAGTAAAACGTCAAAACATATCTTATGTTTGCATTTCATACATATAACATTCAAATTACCGTAAAACTTGTAATAGAAGGGCCCTCACACTGTCAAGTTCAAACTAGAATATCTTACGAAAAATAATAGACAAGTTGACAACTTTTCCATATTTGTGACAGGAACCATGATACATTGACTCAAACTTAAGAGATAAGAAGCCCTTCTATTACAAGTCTCACAGTAGGTTTAAGGGTATTTCTCAGTTACCATAAGACTTTCAGAAAACTACTGAAAAAATTCAAAAACAACTCGAATGATCCCGAAAATCATCAGAAGAATTAAAAAATATTTTTCCTTGTGGGAATTTCTTCTGTAAAATTTGTATGGAGATGAACTGTCATCTTGAGTTAAACATTGGTATTCAAAAAAATATCTTTGTAAAATTAACAGGGTTTTGTGGATCTGCCTTCACACAGTGTTAAATTCGTGCGTACACTAGTCCGACGTTTCAAGCGCCAGAATCGAGACAAATATCCTTTTTGCATTTTTGGAATTTGTATATTGTTTCTTTTTGAACACGCGGCCTTTAGGTCAAAAACGGGTCATTTAGACGAGCGGTCAGAGGGTCAACGTAGATTAAATAACGTTGACGAGAGAGGCGATGGACGCAGGTGAATTTTTTGAATTCAAAATTCAAAATTCCAGAATTTCATTGCTATATTTTTAATTTGGAATTTGGAAACGTTGGGATTTTTTACCTGAAATTTCTGCTTCAGTTATTTTTGACGTAAGAACCCAAAAGTATTCTTTTTGCAAAAAAAAACGTCAAAATGTTATCAAAAAGAACTGAACATGGAACACATCCAGTCTATTTTCATTTTCAACCATTTCGTCCACATTTGGCTCAAATTTCAAAATATGTAGCCCGTCAAAAAGCCCACTGCGCGATTTCGTCAAAAAAGCGCCTCAATGAAATAATTTAAATTCTCAGGGCCATCGGTGCCAACAAAGCTGCTGCTTCAAAAACAAAAAGCTGAACAAATCTTACCAATTTCTATTTTCAGAATTGGATAAAACCGGCAGCCTTCAACTTCTTCGTCGGTTCCAGACCATTAAAGAAAAACCAATGGACTACGAAGAATCAGAACCACTCCCGCCAGTCGATCAAACTATTCAGTGATTAGAGTCACTGCTCCATGACAACGACATCCAAATAGTTCGAAATCAAAACGCGTCACATGAAATTCCGGAGGAAGGGTTTCAAAGCAGCGGAGATGCATTCAAATTTTTAATTGATAACCCACCACAATCATACTTTTATGAAAACCATGACGATAAGCTCTTTTTTTTTTAATCGACACCAATGAGAGATTTTTCAGTTTTGAAAACCTTATGTTTTCAACAAAGACCGTTATCGAATTGTTCCTCAAGATGTACCAAGACTGAGAAGAGTGGACTACTGCTATAAATCGTAGTAATAAAAAATTTTGGTAATAAAGCATTTTTTATGTTATAAAATACATTTTGTCAGTTGGTCACTTTTTGATACTTCGCGTTCTATCAGAGGGTGTACTCTAAAATAACTTCAACATATTATGAATCAATCAGTCAGCTCAGCTACGGCTATCAGCTCAGTTACAAAACTTTTCAATCGGAACGTCATTGCAAGTACTTGACAGATACGTTTTAGCCCAAATGAAACACATTGGTGGAAATCTAATACACAAACACATATTCTCTGAAAATCTGAAAGATCTGGTGTATCTCAGAAATCAGGTCACAGGCGCACAGCCTGGCGGATGGAGCGCCGCATTCGGGGTAAACAGTTATTTTTGCATTTTCGATGTTTGTTTATTGTTCACTGATCGTTCAAAAAAAGTGATCAATGAGTCATAATATATCATAAATGTTGTTGACCAGAGAAGCGAGAGACGCAGAAGAACGGCCGCGCTGGCTATTCTCCTTTTTTCCTTTCATTCAACCATCCAAACACCATCCCGGATGGTTGTCTCGCTTCTAAAATAGAATTAATCGATTTTCGTTCTGAAAATTGATGGCTAAGAATGCTTCCAGCATGGCGCTCTAGCCGCTATTCTATTTTGATTTTTTCTGAAGATTTCCAGTTTAATTATGTTCCAAAAAAGTGAGTTTTTAAAATTTTAATTCTAAAATTTAAATATTAAATTTGTATAGTTTTTTTTCTGGAAATCTTGTTATTTTGAACCTTTTTCTGTTCAAACACTCTAATAAAGGCCACCCTATACTGTAAACGCAATTATCTCGGTTTCTATGAGAGATATCAAAAAGAATTAAACTGATAAAATGTTTATCATAATATCAACATCATTTTATCAGTTGACCACTATAGGGTAGTCTTATATAAGAGTGTTTACAGACCGTGATTAACAATATGTTACTTATAGAGTCCGGAGCCAAGAACAAGCATGCAAGCTGCAAGCTGCAAATATCGATCAATAGGATTTTAAAATTCTCGATTTCCCATATCCTCTGAGTTTTGTTTAAAATTACATCTTCTCATTTTCACCATCCATCTTTTTTCCATTTTTCCAATTCACCTGTATTTATTCTCAAAATAAATCATACTCTGTGCACAAAAAAAAACTGGAAATACAGAAAAAACCAGAAGGGAATCGGAGAAAAAAAGTCTAGAAGTCTTCGATATGTCAGAATTCATCATTTGCTATTAACCGAATCTATCGATTGGCTTCTAAAATTTGAAAACTATTTTGAAGTGCTAGCGTCCAGAAATCTCAAGTCTTGGAAAAAATTCAAACAGCTGCTTGGTGGGTTTGTTCTAATGATTCTTTGCTCTGCTCCTCATGTTTTCTTACAGAATCACGTAAATCTGTACTTGTTATAAGTGGACAAAATGACAACAAGACAGACGAACGTATATAACGTTTTGTATATAAGGAGGATTCACATTATTCTTGCCCTGCCGGATAACCCCAGCAGAGCGGATCCAAAAATTAGATTTGTTCAACACTTTCTTGCGAAAGGTCGGAACTCCAGCGTACCTTGAGTAACTGGGTTAAAACCGACGAACACTGCGCCTTCTCGTCTTATACGTATTTCAATGTACCGACATGAATCGAGGCCCGCGTCGGCCACAAGAGAGTTTCTGTTTGAATAAACGCAGACAACGAGCAATGCGGTGTGGTGGTATAGCAGCAGAAAAATTCAAACACTAAGAAAAAGAGGTAGGTTCGTAACTCTATTGTGCAGAAAAGGCAATTTTGACAAAAAACGTTTATCCCAGAAATTCGATATTCCATTTAATAAATCAAATCTTCTCCTTTCCATCAGCTTTGGCCCCGTACAACTCGCAAGTTCTCGCTCTGTTCCGGACCATTCTATCTGTCGGTTTGCATTTGAAAGCCTCAGAAAACCCATCCATTTGAGACATCAAAGAATTGACTCTTTGATAGCTGTTTGAATGGAGTGTGTCGTGGGATGGATTTTCCTCCATCCCATACTGAAAATATAAGAATATCTAGTGAATCAAAATGAATGATTCTTCTTACCGGTGAACACAAAACCACCGCAGCACCGTAAAAAAAGAGTTGTTTTTTATTCAAAGACTCGTAGTTCTTTACAACTGTTTTTCTGGTGTACGCCTTCTTATACAAATTCCAAACAATACGGTAGGCAGCTAGGTCAGCAGCGTCTTCTTCAAAAGTCTCCCGGGTATCACATGTCTGAAATATATTTTTTTCAAAAATCGAAAATAGAATTTTTGTGTAAACGAACCACAGTTGGAAAAGTTTCACATGTTTTACGAGTTTGTTCCTCTACACATTTCGCGTCTTTCGTCCAATAATTAGCCATCGGTTTGAAAGAATCGCGGTAGCTCAGTTTCAGAAGGCATTAGCTCAGTTTCAGAAGGCAGTTCAATTTTACAAACATCTTTTGAATTTAATGCTGCCGTTTGGTCCGTCAATATGTCTCTCAAATCAGTCTCATAAATGGAATTCATTGGCTTATTGATATACAGTACCGCTTCTCCCACAGCTATAACTTCACATAATCCATCTTCGATTTCTACAGAATACTTTCCACGAATTCTGAATTTTAGAAGTATCTGACTGTGAATGAACAAAAAAGACATAATAGTAACTTACACATCGATGCATTTGCTTTTTGCCTGAATGAAAACCGATTGAGCATATTTTAATGGTTTTCGAATATCCGAAAATGTTGTGAAATTGATTTTCTGAAGCGCATCTTCATACATATCTAATGAGCCATTATAAACTGCCCATGGAGTTTTTCTCAATTCTTTAAGCACTGCCATTTTAAGCTTTTGGAAAAGTTGTCTCAATTTTTTATCCAATTTTTCCATTAAAGAGCTAGCAATAGATCCATCGATTGCTTGACTGATAACCATTCGAGAATTAATCTGTGATAAATTGATAATGGAGCCAACTATTTGTTAAAACTCACAAATTTCTGAGTTGGATTGCTAAGGTTTCTAACCATTTCCATCTTCTGTTCACATGATGATTTTTCCCAATCTTGCAATAAAGCCGTTTCTTCAATATCAAAACTCAATAGGTGGCGAGTGAAATCAGAGACGATTTTCTTAGCAATGTTACATCTGAAATACATATATCGATTGAAACATCAGGTACCGGTCAATAATATATACAAAAAAGTGTTTTCTCTTTATTTTGATAATATTCAGGAGTCTGGAGTTCGGCTGTCAAGTGCCTGATCACTTAAACATTTTTGAAGGGCGTAAATCAAATCTACAGGGTCGCTCATAAGTATGGAGACTTTTTTGCATGGACTGCGTTCGAAAAATCAAGAAAGTTGCTCAATGGTATCTAGGTGCGCCGCGCCTACGACGTCTTTCGGTCTCTTCTATCAGAAAATAAAGTTCATTTTGTTGATACCCCTTTTTTAGGTTTTAAACCCAAAAACAAAAGTCTCCATACTTATGAGACACCCTGTAGATGGAAAATTTTGAATTCACAAAATTTTTTAAACTCCTATTTTTCCAGCTATTTACCGATGTTCAGAGATAACTCTATTTTGCCTGTTTTTGTACTGAAAACTTGAAAAAAGGGTGTCTGTCAGAAATATGCAAAGAGCTGAAAAACTAGGAGTTTTCGAAACATTCTGTAAATGAAAAGTTTCAAATCTATGTCTGGTTTACACCCTCCAAAATTTTCAAAGTAATTGGACACTTGACAGCCAAACTTTAAATGGTCAGAATAAACTGAAAAACAAGTTTTCGTATATCTTATTGACTGGTGATGTATAAGTTTATGTTTGTCTTACAAAGTTGAAGATTCGTTGGAATGAAGGAATTGAGTGACGATGTTTGACAGATTTTTTGTTTTATCCACACTCTGAAAAAATTTTTTAAATTCCAAACATTACTTTTATTTTAAAGGAAGGGGGACAGGGAAACAAAGATTCTCTCGAAATCCGGTAATATAAGCCCAATGGAGAGTTGAACTTGTGGGTTAACCGCAGGAAGTGTCTCACCGCTTCTTGAACTCACAAAAGCATTGACAAAAAGATTTTCCGGATGTTCGAGTTTATAATCTCTAACAATTTGCAGTTTTGTTTCAAAGATACTCTTGAGAAAATCTTGTTTTGAAATTCCCATCGGACAGACATGCGCGTAGAAGTCATCACATGGATCAACAGAGAAGTCAGCAATGCTGAAAACAATTTTGAAAACCGTTTAACTCGAACTTTACATACTTTTTGATATGATTCTGGACAATGTTGTTTGGTATAACCGAACCGGAACAGGAAGCAATCATTATCAGAAAAAACAATAAGAGAGATGTGGAAGCCCGCATTCTCAACATGGGGAAAGAATGAAAATCAGGGAAGGTCTCGCTTCTTTTATAGGCGGAAAATTTACATTTTTATCGTTCCTTTTTTTGTATGCGTGGGTGGGCGATGGTGGGAATGATATGTCTTGAAAAAAAAAGACATTTTACTGATAATTGACAGATTTCGAGAGAGTTTTATTTTTCAAATCCCACCATCCTTAATATGACCGAAAAAAACCTAAAAAAGCAAGGAAGTGATTTTCATGAACACCAATAATTATTTTATTTGTGATTAATTGCTTATTGATCCCTGAGCAAAGATTCAATGGGATTTATGACTGTGCAAGATCTCTGATTAAATAAAGATTAAGATGGTTTATCTATCAAGTCATAACTATTGCGAGGAAATCGTCCCCGAAAGTTAGTGTGCATTTTTTCTCATTTTAACAGACGATTATCCAGCACTCATTCGTTTTCAGCAGTCCTAACTTACCTCAAAACGGGATGACTGCAGCAAACAGTACCGATGAGCTGCAGCCTTTTTAGCAGCAGCCTGCCGATAGACTACGAAGTATCAGAACCACTCTCAACAGTCCATTTCGCTGCACAGTGAGTATAGTCACTGCTGCAAGACGACGACCTCCAAATAACTAGTAATCCAAAGGTCTCGGATGAAATACCAGAGGAAGGTTTTCAAAGCAAAGGCGATGCTTTCAAATTTTAAGTTGATAATACGCCACAATCTACCTATGAAAATCATGACAGTAGGTTTTTTTTCGTTTTTATCAACGTTACTGAAAGATTTTCAGTTTTGACAAGACGTACCATGACTGCGGAGAGGGGACTTTTTTATCTGCTACAACTATTCAATGCGCATTCAAACTTAAAATGGTTTTGGTAAAATTTTCGAATATCCTAGCTGCCACGCCACCTCCTCGAAAACCATTTAATGAACTTCCATTAAAAGATTATTCTTCCCAGAGCAAAGTGTATTATATAATTATGCAGCCTAGGGTAGAGGGGCATTTATAGGATAATTTAGATGCGGCTCAAAATCAAAAGCTCCAATTAGTATAATTGGCGTTGGCGAGATAGGCAAGAGACGAAGATTAAAATGAGCCGCCCCTTCTCCGCCCTTCCTCTTCATTCAAACATCCAAACACCACCTCGGATGGTTGTCTCACTTCTTAAATAAAATATGTCTATTTTCGTTTTAAAAATTGATGGCTACAAATGCCTTGTGCATGGCGTTTTAGCCAATATTTTATTTATATTTTTCTGAAGATTTCTATATTATTTATGATCCGAAAAAGGTGAGTTTCAGTTGGTTACTGAAAAGCAAGCGACGGCAAGAGAAGTTCCTTTAAATACCTGAAAAAAGAGCACTCAGACGGCAACTTCTTGTTCTAGCAGTCCTGTGAGAAATCAAAAGTTGAGGAATCAAGGCACCGTGAAGGAGATGTTGAGAACCGTCTATAACGATTTCCTGGCACCCGACGCAGAAATGCAGATCAACATCAATGCCAGAGAAGCTTTGGGGAATCCTACCGGCAGGCATTTGATCTAGTACAGCATGAAATTAACGAAACGGGACAGCTACGGAAGATTCATTAAGAGTGTTGGTTACAGTAAGTGTTTTATTATATAAAATCTCCAATAGAACGCTTCTCGGACCATCTACTTTAAGCCTTTATATCTCATTTCTTGTGAAAGATATCAAAGACTGGTCAACTGACGAAATATTTTCATCATTATCATAAACATTTTGTTAGTTAATCACTTTTTGATAACTTTTACTGAAACCGAAATAATTGAGCTTGAATTGATAATTTAAAAATCGGTCGGCACCACTGGTCGTGTTACCACCACACTTGCACTGTTTGAGCTCAAATATCTCAGTTTCGGTGGAAGATATCAAAATGTAGTCAACTAGGAAAATATTTATCAGATTTTCGAAATTATTTTGTCAGTTAAAAACTTCTTGATTTCTTTCACAGGAACTGAGATAAGGTAACTCAAAGTTGAATGTTGAAGAGTAGAGGTGGCGTTCTATTGGCGTTCTTTTTCTATTTTTCTATTTTTACCAGTTTTGAAATTCTGGATTTTTCAAGAAAAATGCTTCCACTCCTTTCACTCCCATCGCTTATAGGATCCCTCACAATTGAGGAGATGTACCAAGGAACAGGTACGATACAATCTGAAATTCGAAATTATTTGGTTACTGTAGTAGTAGAAAAAAAAGAAAAATCTTTTGTCGCTTATTTAGTATGTTTTAACCAATGTAGCTATAGAAAAAAACAAATTCGACGGTCATACCTTGATCTTCAAGACCAAAAAAAAAAAATTTTTTTCGGATTACTGTAGTTCTAAAAGCACGCAAACCCAAAAAAACACAAATCGCGTAGCTAAACTTTTTACCTTTTAAGTTGACCCTCCAATTTGTATAAATTAACTATATAGAGTGAAAGAGCGTCTTCTAAGACTTACCAAACCGTTCCTAAAATATGCTCAAGAAACCTCTGAAGTGCTGAAATTTCAGTTTTAGTACCAAAAAATAACTTTGATCGGCAACTTTAAAAACTGGTTTTCTCCACTCCAGTTCTGTCTTTTTTCATCTCGGAAGAAAAAATGATGACCTAAAAATGTGATAAACTTCAAAACGAGAAAGGAAGACTCTGAATTGAGAAGAAGAGAGTGAGCCATCCAGAACTGTTTCAAAACAAGAAGAAGAACGACGGAACGGACTTTGGAAAATCTGGATCAAAGAAACTATGCAGTATGACTGCTTAAATAACAGTAGCACCTGGAAAATCTGGAATTTTCGAAATGCGAAATAAACATTGATTGCTGATTGACAAAAATTTATTAACGGGAAATTTAATCACGTCCAGTTACGACCGGGGCAGATGCTCTTCTAAAATCGTCAATTTTTTGCTCAATAGTTCTGATTTGCTGGTCGACAGGCATTTCAGGAGCAGTCATGGGTTTGGCAGTAGTGGTGTGGGCGTCTGGAGAGTTGGATTCAAGTTCAAAGTTGTTTTAGGATATGTCAAGAGGAACATGTGAAAAGCATGACATCAGTTTTACCTCAACAGATTCTGAATTTTTAGGTGAGAGCCAAAAGTAATAACTTAAAACAGGAATATATAGTCAGATAGCTCATAAAAATCTGGTGGTTATCGAATGTGATGGTTTGATGCATCTCGGGAGTTTCAAACCTATTTTCACGTCTTCAGAACCATCACTGACTTAACCTACCAAAATTAACTATCTTCAGACACCTGCTCCGCCCATTATCGTGAGGGTCAGTGTAAAAAGAAAATCTAGGCAAATCTTGAAACTTCCCAAAACTTCTCCGAAAATACATTTTTTTTCAGAAAATGTTTGAAATATAAAATTTCACATAGTTTTAAGTAAAATACAAAAAAATTAAAGTCCTGAAACCTCCTAGGAGTGGATAAAATCAAATTTGAAAATCACCGATTTTACACTGACATGAAAATGGGATTTTTGGTACTGAAGATAAAACTTCAGCACTTCAAAGGTCTCGTAAGCAGACTTTGAAAACTGATTTATAGGTTCTCGACCATGCTCTTTCGATCTATGAAAGTGGTTTCGGCTAACTCCTACCTTCACTTAAAAGGTTCCCTTGTAAGCCATTTTATGTGAAGGCCTAGAAAATCAAACTTTCAAGAGTTAGGCCACCACTGCAAGATGGATTCGCCTCGAAAAAATTTTTCGAAAAATTTTCAAATACAGTATCGGTCAATAAGTATCACAAAAACGGATTTTTTAAGTTGACTTTCGGCCTTTTCATCATTTTCAATAATCGAGAGCTTTGCTGTCAAGCGATCACATTGGAAAGTTTGGAAAGTGAAAAAAGACCTAAATTCAAAACTTTGCATTCCCATAGTTTTTTGAATTCCTAGTTTTTCAGATGTTTGCCGATTTTCGGAAGACACCCTAACGTTTTCAAAACAAAAACCGGTTAAACAAGAGGGCCTATTCATATTCGGAAAATAGCTGAGGAACTAGTATTTTAAAAAAATCCGTGATTGCAAAGTTTTTAATCTAATTCAAACTATTGAAATTCTTCAAAATGATAAAAAACTTGACGGCGGAGTTTTAGACTTCTGAAAATAGTAAAAATGACAGAAACGCCACTTAAAAATACGTTAATGTATATCTTATTGGCTGGTACTTCATTTCTTTGTGTTTCTGCTAACTCAATGGACGTCTCAACTCCGTTGACGCCGACTGATAGCATCGAAAAGTACCAAATATTAAAAAACCCAGCGGTCCTTGTCCTTTTTTTGGATAAATATTTTTGAACATAATATTACTACGAAATCCATGAAATTCGTTAGAAAAAAACAATTGAATGGGGAAACATTTAAAAAAATCAGTTTTAGCTACTAATCAAAATCATAAACTACGATGTTTTGTTTGAAAGACCTGATTAAAAAAGACAAGTACACCAAAATCCACTTGGGGTCTTAACCCTATTGAACGGCTGCAAAAGAGAAATTTAGGTAGTACTCGAGTTCTAAAAGTGCTAGAGACAGAAAATTTGTACCTGGGGGTTATTTTTATTTCACATCGAATAGCAATCATCGTTGCTTATATTGTCGCTTATCTTGATTTTACAGACAGAATGACTGATTCCATAGAATCTCACTTTCTCCCAAAAAATGATTGTGTTCATTTTTATACGCAGTCTTTGACAAAACGGGCGTACAGCGAAATGTTTTATTGGGTCCGTGTACAACTGACAACGGACACAAAAAAACAGCCAAAAACGGTCGAACTGTCGGTCAACGGACAACGAAGACTCCGGACAACGTCAACGGACAACGAAGACTGGTCCCAGAGTCCTTTTTGCATCTTACAAAAATTGTTTTTGAAACTATTTTGTTTTCATCAATACGTCAGAACTCAAGTTCTCTATCCTTTCATCCCACGGCTTCGAAGAAAAAGAAAGAAACATTTTACTCCACAGTGATGGCTCGAACTCCAGTCGTTGTTGTGTTTAACAACCGAGGCTAGCCAAAGTGTAACATAAGAAATATGCTGTGGCGGAAAAAAAAGAGAAGTCTGTATGAACCTGGCGCCGGGAGGCTAAAAGACAACTTTTTTTGCTCTCAGCTATGGCAAGAACACACTTGAAGATTTGATCGGCGGCATTTTGGAAGGTCCGGGGAATGGGAAATCATCACGGCATGACAGAAAAAGTTTACATGAAACAATTAGAGCATTGAAAAAAAGATGATAGGCTCTCATGGAAATTTCCCGTTTTGACGTATTTTAGAATTTTCTGAGCATTTCCGCAAAAAAGAATTTTCATAATTCATAGTCTCTCTTATTCTGATAAAGTTCTTGTTTTTTGGAAAGAATAAACCTTTAAATTCATATGCCCTTATAGTTCATGGAAGTGGCCAGTTTTCACTTTTAACAAGACTGTATTCTATGGTGTCGTTTGTTACGTTTCGATGTTGTTTTCGCATTCCCTGTCTCCGCATTTGCCCTTTATCCGTTCTGACAGTTGCTCGAACCTCTGCTCCACGCTTTTTACACCAACCAAGAGCTATTACACAACAGAAAAATCGCCATGATGAAAAGAAAACGACAGAAAGAAACGTTTGCACAAACTTGGAGAGGGAGGCTGAATGACAACTGTTTTTGCTCTCAACTATTGAGAACTTTGGCAAGAACACACACGATCTGAGAAATGGGAAATTGTCACAGGTTGACAGAAAGAGCACATGGAAAAATTGAAGAAGTTAAGAAGAAAAGACGGCGGGCACTCATGTAGATTTTCAGTGTTGATGTTTTGCAGAAGATATTCAATAATTAAGACGAAAGAATAGGAAGGTGTCTGAAGATAGTTAATTTTGGTAGGTTAAGTCAGTGATGGTTCTGAAGACGTGAAAATAGGTTTGAAACTCCCGACATGCATCAAACCATCACATTCGATAACCACCAGATTTTTATGAGCTATCTGACTATATATTCCTGTTTTAAGTTATTACTTTTGGCTCTCACCTAGAAATTCAGAATCTGTTGAGGTAAAACTGATGTCATGATTTTCACATGTTCCTCTTGACATATCCTAAAACCTTTGCTCCACGCTTTTTAAACTGACTTTCACGATGATTGACGGAGCAGAAAAAAAAGACCCGTCTCAGCACCAGGTGTCCGTGCCACCCCCAGGCTACTCACAGAGGTTATCATTCTTGAAGCTTGTCTTCTCTCGAGATTTTGCTTTCTTCTCTACTTTTCATTAGTCTACAATCAATTCAAAATGTTAATTGTCAGGCGACATGCACCTTTCTTGGCTTATTGGCGTCGTTTTTCTCATTTCAATTGCTCATCCAGCAACATCGAACAAGAGTTCCTCAAGTCCTCAAAAACACGCGGCATTTGAGTTCATGGGCAAACTAATGGAGAACCACAAGGACGACCCCTCGCCGCCACGCAAAAAAATCTGCTATGCCTATGTGAGTTTATTGGTTACGTCGGCTGACAGTTAGACACGTTTTTATTCCAGTATAGTAAAGACTACACAAAAATGGTGCAGAGATGCTTCAATGTCGACACACATCTGAGCAACAACATTGAATCCAACTCTCCAGATGCCCGCAATATCCGTAGACCCAGTTTTGCTCGTCAAGAGCCTGTCGGATACAAAAATTACAGAAAAATTGAACAGATAGTTGCCGACTTCAAAAGAGCCCCGGTCAAAACCAGACGCAATTAAACTTCTCCGTTAATAAATCTTTGTCATTGCGCATTCAATGTTAATCTAACAATTCATAATTTTCAGGTTATCCAGGTGCTACACAAGTAGTCTGAAGTAGTACTTTCATGAATTGAGCAGTAAATAGGGAAACAGAACAAACAAGAGGTGCAATTTAGATTTTTTGAAAAATAGTTCTTAGGACGTCATTTCCTTTTTAAATGCCAATGTCTTTTCCAACAAGGAGGCAAGACATAATAATGTTTCATATGTATTTTGCCAAAAGAGCCTCTGTGAGTAGTGGAACTCGTAAGAGACAGGTAAGTCTAGTAATAAAGTTACTATAAACTTTCCATTATATGGTACCTCCGAATTGAACTTCACCCTCTAATAGAACGTTCTTTGAGCTGTGCTTCCAAAAATAGATTAGAAGATTATTAATGTGTTGCTTTCTAGAGAGGGTCGAACATGGTCTAGTACAACAGTACCAGAGCGGAATTTAAGAATCATAGGAATCGAAAAAAAAAGAGGGATGATTTTAATAGTTCTAGATGCAACGAGGACCTCTGGAATCATCAACGATAGAGCTGAAGAATTGAAAAGTGGCTACAAGTCATCCCTCATCAAACTACAATTGCCGATAACCGTCAAACTTTTTCATAAGCTATTTAATTACATATCCTTGTTTTTACTTATTACATTTTGCCTTGCACCTAGAGATTTAGAAACTGTCAAGGTGAGGAAATCTTGCCATTTTCAATGTTCTTGAGACATCCTTAAAGTAGGGAGAGAATAAGTTTTTATTAGCATACCGTATTTTCTCTAACAAAAGCCCACCTTTATTTGTAGCCCTCTTCTAATAGACATCTGCCATCCGACGTGCATGAAAATGTAGAAGCACAATCTTTAGGCTCAGTATCCAAGGGTAAATCGAAAAAGGGTACATCGGGATCTTAGGGTACATTCGATCAGAGGGTACATCAGACCTTAGGGTACATCTGGGAGGTAGGTTCAAGGGGTACATCAGAGAAAGGATCCCAGGGTACATCGAAATGTTCTTGGTGTACATCAATCAAAAATACTGTAGTTTTCCACTGGAAGATATTTTGCTATAAACCGCACCATTTTTTTTTTGTTTTTTTTTTGTCTGTATTTATTTGAAAACTACCATTTTTTCGTAGTTTTATGGATTGATAGATTTTTTGAAGTTTTTTTGAAGGAGCTTATTGTACTGAAATTGGCAATAAGAAACAAGTCGAAAACTCGATATTTATCAGAACGAACTTTCAACCAAAGACACATTTCAAATGTGCCAGGACAAGAAGCATTATAAATTTGAAAAAAAAAATCCAAATGCTTTCAAACTCTTCGGATTTTTTTTTTTATGAGAAACACAAAGATACAAAACCGTTAAAAAGACTACGAAATGGAATTAGTTTTCAAGTACACAAAAACAGAACATTTGGATCTGGTCGAACTTGAACTCGCGACTGCAGATTCCGTGTACGCACACACACCACTAGACCACTTTGCCAATTTTCGCTTCGACCACCACAACCCGTACATAATTCGGTGGTTTCTAGAGGAGAAAGGAGTCCACTTCGATTTTTGTGTTTGAATCCCAAAAAATTGTTCGAAATTCACATGGAAGAGTTTGCAGAATTTTCTAGGCCAGCGGATGCAACGGCTCTTTGTCGATTTACAGGATCCCTTTTTTTTAATTTTTGCTCCGATTTTCTCGATTTTCGACTGTTTTTCGTATTTGTTTTTGCAGAATTTCGCGGAAAAATTAATTTTCATGAATTGTTTCATCTTGTATATCGTTTTGAAAGAAAAAAAATCCTGTTCCGGCTCTAAAAATTCCATAAATGAGTCTACGATTGAACATTAAGACCTGAATCACTGCGATAGTTCAGAAATTATTTATTTATTGCAAATTCTGCAGAAAAAATTTTAAAAAACGATCGAAAATCGTTGAAAATCGAGAAAATCGGAGCAAAAATAAAAAAAGATGTCCCGTAAATCGACAAAGAGCCGTTGCATCCGCTGGCCTAGAAAATTCTGGAAACTCTTCTATGTGAATTTCGAATAATGTTTTGGGATTCAAACACAAAAATCGAAGTGAAAGACACATTTTTGAGAAGGCCCATACTCCGAGGGTACATCGAAAAAGGGTACATCACTCTTATAGGGTACATTGACTCAGAGGGTACATTGACTGATAGGGTACATCTGTGGAGGAGTCTGATAGGGTACATTTAAGCAACTCTCATAGGGTACATCGACGAAATACTCAAAGGGTACATCGAAAAAATCTGAAAGGGTACATTGGTCTGATTTCGCACAGTTTTCGAATATTCGTAACTTAATGAGACGGACAAGTTTTATAACGAAGTTTCGGTCATTCATCGGATTATAAGCAACTTACTGATGCTCGGCGAGGTTTTGCAACGTGCTCCTCCTCAATCTTGAATAGTACGCGCTCATTTCTCGATCACTCAGGAACGCTATTTCAAAACAATTTTAGTAATTTACCCGCATTCTGAAAGCTTGAGCAGCGAGCTACACTTTTTTTTCTAGCCCAGGAAGATAAATAACTTCAAACAGATACAATGAAAGATACAATGTTCGTCCCTAAGTGATCGATGAATGACCGAAACTTCGTTATAAAACTTGTCCGTCTCATTAAGTTACGAATATTCGAAAACTGTGCGAAATCAGACCAATGTACCCTTTCAGATTTTTTCGATGTACCCTTTGAGTATTTCGTCGATGTACCCTATGAGAGTTGCTTAAATGTACCCTATCAGACTCCTTCACAGATGTACCCTATCAGTCAATGTACCCTCTGAGTCAATGTACCCTATAAGAGTGATGTACCCTCAATGTACCCCTTTTTGATGTACCCCCCCAGTATGGGCCTTTTGAGAAAAAAAACCACATTTTTTACATGAAAAATGTTTTTGAACAACGACAGATAAAATACAGAGGCGAGCGATTGGAAACGTCACCGGAAACAACTGAAATCAAGAACCTGGCCTAAAAATTAAACTTTTCAGGCAAATATTAGATATTTTCCGACTGGTTTCTGGCTTCGGTGGACCAAATTAGGATGTTTACCCAGTTTTGATGTTAGAATTTGGAGTTCATGCATTTTCATCGATTTTCGTTTCGTCTCCACAGATTTTGACACCTGCAGAAAAATAGGACAGCGAAAAAACTAAAAGTAGATAAATTTCAGTCATAATTTTCAGAAGTTTCGACTAGCCAGTGCTCATTTTCATTCCTTGTCTGGAAAACCTTCCGAAAATTATTGCTTTCTCCACCTCCCCACTCCTTTTTCCTCTAGAAACCACCGAAGATATGTACGGGTTGTGGTGGTCGAAGCGAAAATTGGCAAAGTGGTCTATTGGTGTGTGTGTGCGTTCATGGAATCTGCAGTCGCGAGTTCAAGTTCGACCAGATCCAAATGTTTTGTTTTTGTGTACTTGAAAACTAATTTTATTTCGTAGTCTTTTTAACGGTTTTGTATCTTTGTGTTTCCGAAAAATCCGAAGAGTTTGAAAGAATTTGGACTTTTTTTTCAAATTTATAATGCTTCCTGACCTGGCACATTTGAAATGTGTCTTTGGTTGAAAGTTCGTTCTGATAAATATCGAGTTTTCGACTTGTTTCTTATTGCCAATTTCAGTACAATAAGCTCCTTCAAAAAAACTTCAAAAAATCTATCAATCCATAAAACTACGAAAAATGGTAGTTTTCAAATAAATACAGACAAAAAACAAAAAAAAATGGTGCGGTTTATAGCAAAATATCTTCCAGTGGGAAACTACAGTATTTTTGATTGATGTACACCAAGAACTTTTCGATGTACCCTGGGATCCTTTCTCTGATGTACCCCTTGAACCTACCTCCCAGATGTACCCTAAGATCTGATGTACCCTCTGATCCAATGTACCCTAAAATCTCGATGTACCCTCGATGTACCCTTTTCTGATCTACCCTTGGATACTGTGTCCAATCTTTAACAAAAAATCCGTGCAGTTCAGTTCATGCAGTTGGTCTGCCCAGTTATTACAGGAATTTTCTTTCTTTAAAAAAAAACTCCCTCATGATTTCTGTTTTTATTAATCCCCTAGGGTGGAAGCTGAAAAATAGAAGCCCATGGGCTTCATTTCAAGGAAATGCGGTATCTGAAATAGTATAATTATTAAGACTGGTAGTTCTCTCCCTCATAGATGCGCTTCACATGTTCCTCTTAATATCCCCTGAAACCTCTGCTCCACGCTTTTTACACTGACCCTCACGATAATGGGCGGAGCAGGAGCAAAAAAGATGCGACTCTACCCCCAGGTGTCCGGGCCACCCCTAGGCTACTCCCGGAGGTGATCATTCTCAAAGTTTGTCTTCGCTCAAGATCGTGTTTTCTTCTTTCCCCCAAACTACAATCATTTTGAAAATGTTATTTTGCAGGCAACATGCACCCTTCTTGGATTATCGGCGTCATTGCCATCATCTTCATTGCTCACCCAGCAACCTCGATCAAATGTTTCGTAGGACCAATCGACACGTTGAAGATGGGCGAATTCGTCACCTGCGTCAAGGTCTTCATTGCCGAAACCAAGCAAAGCTGGTACGAGGGCTCCAACACCACCTTCTTGGAGTTCAACAAAATCTGCCATGTCACTGTGAGTTGATTGGTCACTTCGGCGATCAATTAGAAATTTTGTTTATTTCAGTACGAAAAGGAATACAAGAAAGTGGTGGAGAGATGCTTCTGCGACAACAAACATTTGTGCAACTTTGAACTTGAATCCAACTCTCCAGACGCCCACACCACTACTGCCAAACCCATGACTGCTTCTGAAATGCCTGTCGACCAGCAAATCAGAACTATTGAGCAAAAAATTGACGATTTTAGAAGAGCATCTGCCCCGGTCGTAACTGGACGTGATTAAATTTCTCGTTAATAAATATTTGTCAATCAGCAATCATTGTTTATTTCGCATTCCGAAAATTCCAGATTTTCCAGGTGCTACTGTTATTTAAGCAGTCATACTGCATAGTTTCTTTGATTCAGATTTTCCAAAGTCCGTTCCGTCGTTCTTCTTCTTGTTTTGAAACAGTTCTGGATGTTGGCTCACTCTCTTCTTCTCAATTCAGAGTCTTGCTTTCTCGGTTTTGAAGTTCATCACATTTTTAGGTCATCATTTTTTCTTCTGAGATGAAAAAAGACAGAACTAGAGTTCTAATGAGTGGGCATGTGTCAGTCAAGATGAATGCTCCTCTCTTCTCGTGATTGAAACACTCGGGCGAAGTCCATGCTCTCTGCAGTGTAAAGGAAACAAGTTTCTTCATAGAAACAGATTTTCGAGTTTTATTTTGGGGCTAGTGTATTCATTCTGACTTGTATAGTGATCGGTATACACGCATAGCTTGGCTACCGAGCAGATGTTATATAACTTCTCATACTTCTCATTGTTTCCCTTTATTTATTACTTAATCATCAGTCCCAGGTCAGTTCTTGGCCCTCGTCTATCTTCTTTCAGACCCAGAAAACAAATGTCTGCACTCCACGAATCGAGAAAAAAATCATTGTAAAGCAGGCTTTTTGTTTGTGTCCCTCCACAGAAACATTGAAAAGAGATTCTCGTGCCAACCGTACCCTGGCACGGATGCGTTCAAGCAAGCGCCACATGTCTCTTCTTTTAGGCGCGGCGCTCGTCGGGACCCTGGCAACATTTCATGAAGAGCAAGGACCAACACACAGGACAAGCACTCCTACCTACCATCCATCACTCGAATGGGGAGTAAAAATGGAGGAAGAATAAAAACAAATTGTTTAGAAAAAACAGAGCAAAATAAGCAACCAGAAATGGATGCCAGCAAAAAAAAACAGAATGTGGTCAATAGCTCTGTTTCATAAACATGCAAATGATCCCTCTACATAATGAATCTAGTAAAAATACAAAAGTATAAAAAGTTTCAAATTAAACAGCCGCGTTCCTCTCGAAAATTTCTTTTTTATGAAAAGTGATAATGGCAAGTCTTCTTTTCCATTTTCTCCATTGACACACTGCTGCCGTAATCTTAAAGTTTAATTTTGAGGAAAATCGGACAATTTTTGGGCCGAAAAGCTCAATGGTCCTTTCAGCAAGTCTTCTTTTCCATTTTCTCCATTGACACACTGCTGCCGTAATCTTAAAGTTTAATTTTGAGGAAAATCGGACAATTTTTGGGCCTAAAAGCTCAATGGTCCTTTCAGCAAGTCTTCTTTTCCATTTTCTCCATTGACACACTGCTGCCGTAATCTTAACGTTTAATTTTGAGGAAAATCGGACAATTTTTGGGCCTAAAAGCTCAATGGTCCTTTCAGCAAGTCTTCTTTTCCATTTTCTCCATTGACACACTGCTGCCGTAATCTTAACGTTTAATTTTGAGGAAAATCGGACAATTTTTGGGCCTAAAAGCTCAATGGTCCTTTCAGCAAGTCTTCTTTTCCATTTTCTCCATTGACACACTGCTGCCGTAATCTTAACGTTTAATTTTGAGGAAAATCGGACAATTTTTGGGCCTAAAAGCTCAATGGTCCTTTCAGCAAGTCTTCTTTTCCATTTTCTCCATTGACACACTGCTGCCGTAATCTTAACGTTTAATTTTGAGGAAAATCGGACAATTTTTGGGCCTAAAAGCTCAATGGTCCTTTCAGCAAGTCTTCTTTTCCATTTTCTCCATTGACACACTGCTGCCGTAATCTTAACGTTTAATTTTGAGGAAAATCGGACAATTTTTGGGCCGAAAAGCTCAATGGTCCTTTCAGCAAGTCTTCTTTTCCATTTTCTCCATTGACACACTGCTGCCGTAATCTTAACGTTTAATTTTGAGGAAAATCGGACAATTTTTGGGCCTAAAAGCTCAATGGTCCTTTCAGCAAGTCTTCTTTTCCATTTTCTCCATTGACACACCGCTGCCGTAATCTTAAAGTTTCAGCAAGTCTTCTTTTCCATTTTCTCCATTGACACACTGCTGCCGTAATCTTAACGTTTAATTTTGAGGAAAATCGGACAATTTTTGGGCCTAAAAGATCAATGGTCCTTTCAGCAAGTCTTCTTTTCCATTTTCTCCATTGACACACTGCTGCCGTAATCTTAACGTTTAATTTTGAGGAAAATCGGACAATTTTTGGGCCGAAAAGCTCAATGGTCCTTTCAGCAAGTCTTCTTTTCCATTTTCTCCATTGACACACTGCTGCCGTAATCTTAAAGTTTAATTTTGAGGAAAATCGGACAATTTTTGGGCCTAAAAGATCAATGGTCCTTTCAGCAAGTCTTCTTTTCCATTTTCTCCATTGACACACTGCTGCCGTAATCTTAACGTTTAATTTTGAGGAAAATCGGACAATTTTTGGGCCTAAAAGCTCAATGGTCCTTTCAGCAAGTCTTCTTTTCCATTTTCTCCATTGACACACTGCTGCCGTAATCTTAACGTTTAATTTTGAGGAAAATCGGACAATTTTTGGGCCGAAAAGCTCAATGGTCCTTTCAGCAAGTCTTCTTTTCCATTGACACACTGCTGCCGTAATCTTAAAGTTTAATTTTGAGGAAAATCGGACAATTTTTGGGCCGAAAAGCTCAATGGTCCTTTCAGCAAGTCTTCTTTTCCATTGACACACTGCTGCCGTAATCTTAAAGTTTCAGCAAGTCTTCTTTTCCATTTTCTCCATTGACACACTGCTGCCGTAATCTTAAAGTTTAATTTTGAGGAAAATCGGACAATTTTTGGGCCGAAAAGCTCAATGGTCCTTTCAGCAAGTCTTCTTTTCCATTTTCTCCATTGACACACTGCTGCCGCAATCTTAAAGTTTCAGCAAGTCTTCTTTTCCATTTTCTCCATTGACACACTGCTGCCGTAATCTTAAAGTTTCAGCAAGTCTTCTTTTCCATTTTCTCCATTGACACACTGCTGCCGTAATCTTAAAGTTTCAGCAAGTCTTCTTTTCATTTTCTCCATTGACACACTGCTGCCGTAATCTTAACGTTTAATTTTGAGGAAAATCGGACAATTTTTGGGCCGAAAAGCTCAATGGTCCTTTCAGCAAGTCTTCTTTTCCATTTTCTCCATTGACACACTGCTGCCGTAATCTTAACGTTTAATTTTGAGGAAAATCGGACAATTTTTGGGCCGAAAAGCTCAATGGTCCTTTCAGCAAGTCTTCTTTTCCATTTTCTCCATTGACACACTGCTGCCGTAATCTTAAAGTTTAATTTTGAGGAAAATCGGACAATTTTTGGGCCGAAAAGCTCAATGGTCCTTTCAGCAAGTCTTCTTTTCCATTTTCTCCATTGACACACTGCTGCCGTAATCTTAAAGTTTAATTTTGAGGAAAATCGGACAATTTTTGGGCCGAAAAGCTCAATGGTCCTTTCAGCAAGTCTTCTTTTCCATTTTCTCCATTGACACACTGCTGCCGTAATCTTAACGTTTAATTTTGAGGAAAATCGGACAATTTTTGGGCCGAAAAGCTCAATGGTCCTTTCAGCAAGTCTTCTTTTCCATTTTCTCCATTGACACACTGCTGCCGTAATCTTAAAGTTTCAGCAAGTCTTCTTTTCCATTTTCTCCATTGACACACTGCTGCCGTAATCTTAAAGTTTAATTTTGAGGAAAATCGGACAATTTTTGGGCCGAAAAGCTCAATGGTCCTTTCAGCAAGTCTTATTTTCCATTTTCTCCATTGACACACTGCTGCCGTAATCTTAACGTTTAATTTTGAGGAAAATCGGACAATTTTTGGGCCGAAAAGCTCAATGGTCCTTTCAGCAAGTCTTCTTTTCCATTTTCTCCATTGACACACTGCTGCCGTAATCTTAAAGTTTAATTTTGAGGAAAATCGGACAATTTTTGGGCCGAAAAGCTCAATGGTCCTTTCAGCAAGTCTTCTTTTCCATTTTCTCCATTGACACACTGCTGCCGTAATCTTAACGTTTAATTTTGAGGAAAATCGGACAATTTTTGGGCCTAAAAGCTCAATGGTCCTTTCAGCAAGTCTTCTTTTCCATTTTCTCCATTGACACACTGCTGCCGTAATCTTAAAGTTTAATTTTGAGGAAAATCGGACAATTTTTGGGCCGAAAAGCTCAATGGTCCTTTCAGCAAGTCTTCTTTTCCATTTTCTCCATTGACACACTGCTGCCGTAATCTTAACGTTTAATTTTGAGGAAAATCGGACAATTTTTGGGCCGAAAAGCTCAATGGTCCTTTCAGCAAGTCTTCTTTTCCATTTTCTCCATTGACACACTGCTGCCGTAATCTTAAAGTTTAATTTTGAGGAAAATCGGACAATTTTTGGGCCGAAAAGCTCAATGGTCCTTTCAGCAAGTCTTCTTTTCCATTTTCTCCATTGACACACTGCTGCCGTAATCTTAAAGTTTAATTTTGAGGAAAATCGGACAATTTTTGGGCCTAAAAGCTCAATGGTCCTTTCAGCAAGTCTTCTTTTCCATTTTCTCCATTGACACACTGCTGCCGTAATCTTAACGTTTAATTTTGAGGAAAATCGGACAATTTTTGGGCCTAAAAGCTCAATGGTCCTTTCAGCAAGTCTTCTTTTCCATTTTCTCCATTGACACACTGCTGCCGTAATCTTAACGTTTAATTTTGAGGAAAATCGGACAATTTTTGGGCCTAAAAGCTCAATGGTCCTTTCAGCAAGTCTTCTTTTCCATTTTCTCCATTGACACACTGCTGCCGTAATCTTAACGTTTAATTTTGAGGAAAATCGGACAATTTTTGGGCCTAAAAGCTCAATGGTCCTTTCAGCAAGTCTTCTTTTCCATTTTCTCCATTGACACACTGCTGCCGTAATCTTAAAGTTTCAGCAAGTCTTCTTTTCCATTTTCTCCATTGACACACTGCTGCCGTAATCTTAAAGTTTAATTTTGAGGAAAATCGGACAATT